GAGCTAGATGACGAAAGAGAAAAATGATAAGCACAGCAAAATGGGGAGCATAGCATATGAATGGCGAGAGAAAAATTGAGAGCATTTAATTTGTCTGAAATGATTTTAAGGTTATTTTTGTCAAGTCAAGACAAAATTAAGTAAAAACAGTTAACTTTATATTGAAAGTTATTTTTAAAATAAGCTTATTACGTTGATTATTCCTCACAATTTGCTTTTTTTTTTCTAATCTTATTATAGAACTGCAACACACCCAAACAAAACCAATAAGTAATCACAAAATGTCTAAACATTAATATATCATAATCTCAATCTCTCAATTAGAGAGCTTGTTAAATTCCCAAATAACGGTGTTAACCCAAATTAGTGTGAAAAAAGTTAAGAAAATTGAGGTTTGGACTAAATCTCAAACTGGGTGTCTTAAATTTAATACCGATGATGTTTCCAGAAGCTGTCCTGGTAAGTCTGGTATCGGAGGTATTTTGAGAAATGAACTTGACACTACAATAACTCTTTTCTCTAAGGCCATAGGTATCTCGGATTATGGTAGAACTGAGCTTGTTGCTGTGAGAGAAGCTGCTCTTATCTTTGCTGTCTCGAGGTGCAACTCATCTTATTCACTGCTAACTTCTATGATGTTTTTCTTTTGTTTGGCTTTTAGGTGTAGGATTGGATTTCTTGGCCTCCTGCTGGTCACCTAGGGTCAGCCCTTGGGTAAAGTCACCTAAGCAAGGGCTTTAGGACTCAAATTTGAAGAGGTTCTATATTTTTATAATAATAATAATAATATAATTAATTATATTAAAAATATATAAAAATAAAGATAATTAATACAATATCTATTTATTCTCTTATGCCTGATAAATATTTATTTTCTCTTACTTTCACATTCCTATTAATTCTGAACTAATTATCTCATTTTCTATTAAAAATATATAAAAAACTAAAAGCAAAATGAATTAATAAAATTACATATTCTCTTTCTTCTCTAATTATGTGCATAATAAATCTCAATTTTTTATCACTTTTTAATTCCTAAAATGCTATTAATTCTCAACTATTTCTTCTATTTCCAATCAACTAATAGTAATATGTATTTAACGATCTCCAATAACTATTTTTTCTTAGTTATTTCTTTATTTTCAATCAACTAACAGTAAGATGTATTTAACAATTCTAACAACTATTTTATTTCCTATATATAAAAACAATTATCTACTTTTTTTCAATTTATAATATCCACTTTTAAATTTTTCTTTCTTCATTTGCTTTTTTTTTTCTTTAACTTCAATTTTCCTCCAAAGAATATATAAAAAGTCTGTTATGCTATTATCTTTATAAAGTCGTAAGCCTCATTTACGATTTGTAATAAGCATTCAACAATTTGGTACTATTATTTTAATTTTTGTAGACTTTTTTACTTTAATTTAAAGTTTATATTATATTGTTATATTATTTTTATTTTATATGATAGTTAATTTGTTTGAATTAAAAATTTTGATTATGAAATTTATATTAGCCATTTAAAAAATATAAAATAATTATAATAATTAAATATTTTTTATACTTCATAATAAATATTTGAATATATTAAATCGAAAACATGAATTTAGTTGTTCAAAGTTATTTTTTTAATTTTCATGAAAAAACTCTTATTTGAATATTTTGCTTTAGACGTTTGAAGTAATTGAGCTGTCCCTGTTGCTGTCATTTCCTTTTTGAGCAGCACTGAGATTTTGTAAATGTACAGTTCTTTACCCATGTCAAATCCTTCATGCCAAACAAAGTCTTCTGTCAAATAGGCAAAAGACTTGGTATGGCATTATGGTGATGGAAGAATAAAGTTATACTTTTCAAAGAAAAAAAAATAATGTGGTGAAGTGGATTAAAATGCCCAATGATGTGTCTTGGAAAGTGAGGCCTCTGGTTATTCAAATTACCGGTTTACTTGGCAGGATTGCACGATGGGAGATTAGACACATTTTGAGGTCTGCTAACGACGCTGCTGATGTTTTGGCCAAGGAAGGAGTGGCCAGATCCCAATGACTTACTGTGGATTAACAATGAAACTCTGGTTGATGGAAACCAAGGCTACTTTGATGGTTACTTTCATGTCCTTTGATGCAGGTTGTGCAGACGTGAAACTATCAGACGTTGGATGCCAGATCCAACGCTGCCGCTAGTTTTATGTGATACTACTTCACTGGTTTGCTAATGCTGGCTGTTTTGTATTTCTATATGTTTTAGCTAGATTATGTGTACAGGAAGCCCATACTACCGCAGTCTTTGCTAGTATGTTTTGTATAGTCGGTTTATGACCTGATAATTACGGGGTGGTTGGAAGCTGATGGCTTCCTCAAATTGTTGTCAATGGGTTTGAAGCTTTTTTGCTCATACTTCAAACCTTCTGTACAGATTTCTTCTTCATTAATGAGAAGCTGCTTTTCCAAAAAAAAAAATTATATCATAATCTCATTGGAAACTACACGTAATCAATTAGATTGATTAAATAAGTGATATATATACACCCATTAACTTAAGCTACTTGTCTCGATATATAGTTGTAAGGTATAAGGTTCCTTTTCCTTTTCTTGTTTGGAATTAATCGGAAAAATTCACCAACATTTGTCTTCCATAATTTCCGAATTACAAGATGTAGTCGAACATATTCTCTAGAGTCTAGACAGTGTATATAGGATAGGAGGATGGAATCACTAACTGATTTTATTACCTTCCACGCATTCCTTTATTTCTTCTCAAATGCTTGATTGTAATCTGCCAGCATTCAACATTGAGTACACAAGATTTTAATCATGAATTAAACCCGTTCAACATCCTTTAAGAATTTAATTTTGAATTTCTTCAGCTTGGCAACAACTTTCTTTCATATTAATTCTCTCCTCTGTTGTCCAGTGATGCTGCTAGTAAATTTGTGGCATATACCATGCATGTCATTGTGAATTAGTGTGAATAGTTTAGAAGTCTAGTTACAAATTAAGGGGGGAATTATCAGTAACATTGCCTGTAGAGTATGGTTGACTAAAATTATTATCAGTCGATCATTTCTCTTATTAGTTAACACAGTTGCACATAGTATTGGGAGCTTTTTACCCAACTTGTTTTCTATCGGATGTTAATTTAAAGGGAAACAGAATTACTAGTTTGGATTATCGTATTAATATATTGGGGTACTTTGTATATATTCTGCAGAGCTCCTAAGGACAACAGTGCTCTTTAACTGTCAGAACTTGTTTTCTTCTACAGTGAGCATCAAGAGACTCAAAGCATTAACATTGAAGATGCAGTGTGCTTAAGAAAATTTGCAGATGCTTATAAACAAAGCAACTAGTGTGAGAATGCGGAGAGTCATATATAGGATAGTTTATTTTTCAATATATATATATATATATAGGATAGTTGAAGTTATATATCATGTTGGAAATACAAACCATAATCTCAACAAAATCACATGAAAATTATCTATAAAATAAATAAGATAAGACTAATACAACTGAAATTATTGAGTAAAGTCACCTCAATGCTGGAACAAAAGCTGTGAGAATATATACAAAAGAAAGTTCAGGAATTTGTCCATTAAATTGATTATTTGAACAGTCAGTAGCCGTCAAAGTGGTTAAGATTCTCGTGAACACCATTTCCAACCCTTTTGTTGTAATAGAGAAAGATTGTTCATAATAAACATAAGTGATAGCATGCTCATATCTCATGTACTCTACTTCTCCTTCCTTTTTATACCCATTGTTTATAGCATGCAAACTTTCATAAAATTTTGATGGCAAGCAGCCACTGAAGTCATTGTGAGAGAGATTAATGATCCATAAATGAGAGAAGGAAGATGCAACTTGGGAATTGATAATGTGACCATGGAATCTATTGGATCGCAAGGCAAGAACTTGTAAATTATTAAAACTCCTTAACCAACTAGGAATGGTATCATTTAAGTTATTGTTCCCAAAATCTAGAAGTTCCAAGTCCTTGCAATTAACCAAGGATTGTGGTATTGGCCTTCCAGCTGATTGCTGTTGATACGAAAACTTCTTAGCAAACAACATTCAGGAAACAAAATTCCTGGTATTTTCCCATGAAAGTTATTCATATATAGTTTCAAATGTAAAAGAGAGAAGCTTAAATTTCCAAGACATACCGGAATAATTCCACCCAAATTACTCATAGACAAGTCGAGATCCTGAAGGGAGCTCAAATTGCATATTGAGGAAGGGAATTCTCCAACTAATTGATTCTTTGATATGGTGAACCAAAGTAATGAAGGTGGTATAGTTGGAAGCGGTCCTTGAAGAAAAATTGAACAGAAGTTAAGATATTGAGTATTCTTTGGAAGAAGTTGCTTCGTAAAAATGCCAAAATATGACACTTTTACTTCCTTTTGCACAATTGGAACTTCAAATTACTCCACAATTATAAGTTGAATTATAACAATATTATACTAATTACTCCAAATACTTTTTTTTATTTTAAGAGCTTTTCAAAATCTTATTTGACTTAACTTCTGCTTTTAAGAAATAAATAAGTAAAAAAATACAGACCAAACAAGCACTAAATATTATAAGTTTACTTAAATTGAGATGCAATAACTATTTAATCTGGCTCCCTTTTAAGGTAATTAATCTCACTCTCCCAAATTCATTATTTGGGAGCATGAATTTGGAAGAATAGATTTAGATTTGGTTTGTTATATAGATTACGATATGAAAGTAAACATCACCTAAAATGTAGTTAAGATTCAATGCTAGTATCTAAGAAGGTATAAATAAATGAATATCAAGTTGTCTAAATTATACTTCAAATCCACCACTTAATAGAATCTAACAAATACGGTGAAAATTTCAAAATTATTTAAGACAGTCATGTTTTCATGAGTTCTAACACCACATTTATACTGAATTTATATTTAAATATCTTATTTTAAATTCATGTTTTCAAATTGAACTTAACTGGAACACATCCAACCTGGGAAATTTTTTAAACCTTGTCAAAGCTAAATCTTACATCTTGTTAAAAGGAAAAATGGTAATGGTAATTAAATACTGTTATACATTTAGAAGTACTAAAACTCACCTGACAGCATTAATTATGTCCTTCTAACATATTTTTGCTGAACTCTTTTGGTCATCTTAATGAACCACGACGGTTTTCCAGTTGTGAACACTATGTATCCCATACTCAATCCGAATACTAACCCACATCCATACCCCATCAATATAGAAAATCTCCAGTTCAATTCTTTTGTTGTATCATCATCATCATCATCAAATATTGTTGGAGGTGGTTCCAAATCCTGATCGTTTCCACAGCTTTTTGACAATGGGAGTCCGCATAAACCCAAGTTCCCAGTGTAGCTATCATTTGTGAAAGTATTAAATTGTTTGCCTCTAGGAATGGGTCCGATGAAATTATTCCAAGAAAGGTTTAATACAGCTAAGAATCCAAGACTATTTAACTGAGCTGGAATTCTTCCTTCAAGCTTGTTTGATGAGAGATCTAATGATTCAACCTCAGACAAATTACTTAAGGATGACGGGATAGGACCTGTGAAACTATTGTGAGAAAGGTTGAGGACTCTAAGTGATTGAAGTTTTCCAATTATTTCAGGAATATGTCCACTGAATTGATTATTTGAGAAGTCAACAACCATCAAAGAGATTAAGATTCTCGTGCACCCGATCTCCAACCCTTTTATTGTAATATAGAAAGATTCATCATAATACACAGAGAAACCGTAAATGCTACCATTTCTCATGAACTCCACTTCACCTTTCTTTTCATACCCATTGCTTATAGCATTCAAACTTTCGACAAATTTTGGTGGCAAGCAACCGCTGAAGTCATTGTGAGAGAGATCAATGATCCGCAAATGAGAGAAGGAAGATGCAACTTCAGAATTGACAATGTGACCATGGAATCTATTGAATCTTAAGCCAAGAACTTGTAGATTCAATTTACCTAACCAACTAGGAAAGGTGTCATTTAAGTTGTTGTTTCCCAAATCTAGAAGTTCCAAGTCTTTGCAGTTAACCAAGGATTGTGGTATTGGCCCTTCAAGCTGGTTGTTGTTGAGGCGAAAACTTATCAACGAACAACTCTTAGGAAACAAAGTTCTTGATAATTTACCATGAAAGTTATTCATAAACAGATTCATCTGTAAAAGAGAGGAAGTTAAATTTCCAAAACATTCCGGAATAATTCCACCCAAATTATTCATAGCTAAGTCGAGAAATTGCAGGGAGCTCAAATTGCATATTGAGGAAGGGAATTCTCCAACTAACTGATTATCTGATGCGCGGAACCATAACAATGAAGGTGGTAGAGTCGGAAGCGGTCCTTGAAGAAAATATGAACAAAGGTTAAGAGATTGAATATTTTTTGGAAGAAGTTGATTTATAAAAATGCAAAAAATGATACTTCCTTTTGCACAATTGGAACTTACTTTTAACATCACTCCACAATCATAAGTTGAATAAGAACATTCTAATGAAACAAGTACAAACTATGAAACCCAATTCTTCACTAATTTTTTTTTTTTTTTTGCCTTCTAAGTCAACTTCTACTGTCATTCCATCGAACAGAAGGAAACCCTCTAAAAAGAAATTACTACAATTCTACATAGAGACAAATAATTTGCTCTAACTAAATCATTTTTGATGCGCACACATAGTTAAAGAAACTGACACACTCTCTGATGTGTGATTTTTTTTTTTAATTGTTGATATATAATTATAATAATCTTTTTATTATGTCGTTTTCTACTTAGTAACCAAGAATGAAAATATTTCAAATACTTAAAAAAGGATTGATTATATATGCAGAACTTGGATAAAAAGGAGAAGAAAGATGATACCTGTCAAATAGTTAGACTGTACATGAAGGGCTTCAACAGAAGTCAAGCCTCTAATAGTTGATGGAATTACACCTGAAAATGATATTATTTTTTACCTACTTTTGTTTTATAATAAATTTTCAAATATTAAAAAATTAAAAACAAAATGTAAACAACAAAAATATCAATAAAATGAAGCCTGATGAATGCAATACTCCCTCTCTATTAAATTGGGGTGTTAACATTTCCATTTTTAACTAATCTAATTTTAGTTCTTAATTTCTTATATTTGAACATCTACAATTCTTGATATTGATTTTTTCAAATTTCCTTTACATTTCAGGACTCAAAAACCAATTAAACTGTCGATAATATGAAAAAACTTAGGTGTAGAGAAATAAACAGGAGGAGGAACAACTCTTAGGGCAAGGAGGGAAGAGTTTAAGCTGCTATGAAGAGCAAAGGGTTTGAAGCAAAAATTGTGGAAGAGGGGAAATGTGGTGAGAGGAAGATGGGACTGTTTTCAGAGGAGGGTGATAGCATCTAAGGGGGTGGTGCGAGGGATCCCTGATGGAAGGCTCGACATAAGGTTTTGGATGATGCTGGAAGAGCCATCTTGCGTATTATGAGAGAGAGGGGTGATGAGAACAGTTGAGTTCTCATATTCATACCTTTTGATTGTGCAATATTTTCGTGTGATCTTCATTGTCCTGGAAAATGCGTTAGGGGATGGTTTGTGTACAGTTTTGTGAGCCATTCCAAGTTAAGTGACTGAGGTTAGGAATGTAAAGGCAGTGGATTAATAAAGTCTAATAAGGAAGGAATTTTTGTAACAATCAGGTTTAAGTGGTGTTGCAATTCTTTTGTAAGTGGCACGCTGAAGCAATTGTACAGTGTTCCATGCCTAGCAGCCAGGGTCCATATGCCATCAGAGGTCTCCAAGCCCCCTTGGCTAGAGACTTTAGATGGCACAATGGCTGCGGTTCTTAATAAATATGCATAAGCTTTTTCTAAAAAGAAAAAAGATTCTATACAAGTATTTTAGAGCTTTTAAGTAATTGGATATCAAATTGTCTAAATCTAATAAATTCTACAATAATTAAGAAAGTCATGTCTTCACAAGTTCTATCACCCATTTTTATACTAAATTTGAAATTTAAATTTTTTACTTTTAATTTAAGTTTTCGAGTTCAACCAAAATAAAAATCGAAATATAAAATTGGAACTCATGTATAAAAAAAAATGACAAATAATCATTTTAATTTGTCTAAAGAGAAGGTCCATAATAAGCGTACCTGTTAGGTTGTTCATATCAAGATGCAAGTGGATTAATTTAGTCAAATTCCCAATTTCTTGAGGCAAACTTCCCTCCAAGTCATTCCAACCTAAAGCTAAAAATTCTAACTTTTGGCACTTGAATATATTGGTTGGAATTCTACCCGATAGATTGTTGTTATGAAAATCCAAAAGTTGCAATTTAGGAAGGTGATCAAACATAGTCGATGGAAGATGACCTACAACGAGATTATTAGTGTTGAAATCAATATTTGCTATAAAAAAATATTGATGATGGAGAAAGATATGCAACATGAAAACAAATTATCTCCCAAATACAACCATTTCAAGTCAGAAACATTTCTAATTGCTATAGGAATCTGCACTTTTAAATCATTGTCATATAGGAGCAAATTCTCAAAGTTTGACAAATTAAGAACCCGAAGAACACTAAGTAACATCATAGATGCTGTTATCGTATAGAAACAAGCTCTGAAGTTGAGTGAAGGAATCAAACAATGACGGGATTTTCCCCACCAAAACTGTTGTTACCAAAGTTTATGTATTTCAACCAAGACAAACTAGTCAACTCCTTGAGCAATGAGCCATGAAAATTATTAAATCGGATGTTATGTTGAGCAAGAAAAGTTAGATTTTCTAAGTGAGGTGGGATAGTGCCTATAAGACCCATGTTAGAAAGATCAAGAGCGATGACTATTTAAGGATAAATCTTTTAAGTGAAATTTTTAAGGAGGGTTACAAGTGGTAACTTTTTATAAAAGTTTTTTAGAGTAAAAATAATTATGGAATCTTACCATAAGTGTTGTCATAAATTATTTTTACAGAAAAAATTTACTGTTATATAATTATCACAAACATAAAAACAATAAATTATGAAATAGAATATGGTGAAATAGAAAAATAAATTTTAATAAATAGAATAATTTTATAATTATTTAAGGAAAATTATTTTAAATGAAATTTTTAAGGAAGGCTCTAAGTGGTAACTTCTTTAAATTTTTCAAAGTAAAAATAATTATTGGATCTTGCCATATGTGTTGGAGGGTAATTTCATGTATTAATTTTATAAAAAAAAGTTTATTTTTTAAATAGTTATTAAAAATATGAAATATTAATAAACAAAATATTTTGTAAATTAGGAATAGAGCCATAACATTCATGTGTGTGTCAATTTAATAGAAACACAAATAAATAAAAATTCTCCAATGATGGAATTTTCGAGAAGGTTATAAGTGATAACTTCTTGAAATTTCTAGGTGAGAAATTTTTTTTGAATTTTGTCTAAGCGTTGGGGTCTTCAAGGAATATTCAAATACCAAAGAAGTTTATTTATTTACAAAATGATAAAATAAAATAAATTAACAAAGACAATAAAAATAACAAAACAAGAGAAGAAAATAAAATTAAATGTTGAATTAAACAGGCTAAAAGGACAACCTATGATTAATTAGCTACAAATTAAATGGATGTTGTGAAGGTGCTAATATCTTCCTCATATGTAATACTTTTGAACCTAAACTGTTTCGTAAACCGCAATCTATTCTTTTTAATGAACCTAAGTTAAGCCTAAGACTTCATTAGAAAAAATAGATTCAACTAGGTGATCAATCACAACTAAGTAAAAAAAAATGATGGTGATTGTTTTTTACATCTAATAGCTAGGTTTTAGGAATCACACATTATGCCAATATTTGTTAACCGAGACAATCATTAAAACTTAAAACTTTTATATTTGCATCTTAAGATATGTAGAGGACTACCTCTACTTGTATAACTCAAAAATATATGGACAAACAAAAAAGGAAAAAAAGATTATTAATATTGTCATAACGTGTGGGTTTAAGAACCTAAGTGCTTAACTTGTAATGGAGTCGTCACTAATTTTTTTTGTGTAGGTATGATAGGCCACAATCTACTGTTTTTTAATGTTTACCTTAACCTTGACTTAAGTTCATTTTAAAAAATAGATTTTGGTCTACAAAACAATTTTATGTTCAAGAGCACGATTACGCATGGGGAAAATATTAGCATCTTGCGATGCCCGTCTAAAGCACAGTATTAATTAATCATATGTTATCTTATATTAAGCTTAATTAATCATCCTTGACTTCATATTTGCTTATATTTTTTGTATTTATTTATATTTTTTCATTCATTTTTTAAATTATATTTTTTATTATTTAAATATTGAAAAATTTTAAGTTTTCCCAACACTTTTGACAAAAATTAAGAAAAATCTCCTCACCTGCAAGAACATTCAAGAAAATCACTTATTTTCTTCAAAAGATTCCATCGGTGGAGTTATTTTCAAATGTTTATAAAATATTCAGATAAAACATTTTTTTTCTTTTTATGCTAGTTTCAAATTTATTTATTAATTTATTATTTTTTGAATAAAAATCTTTCAATATTGAAACTTATTTATAAATTCTCCAAAATTTTTTGTGGAATTTAAGAAAAACTTCACAACTAGAACTAACGGAACACAGAGTGAGAGAGAGAATAATAAAGAAAAATAAAAGCAATAGCAATAATATTACCAAAGGAATTCAAACAGCAATGCAAGACACTCATATTATGAAAGTATAGAAGCAAAAACAATAAAAAAACATGATTTTTATGTTCTTTGCCTTCTTTCTTATATATATATATATATAAGTTTTAGCCAGATACAATAAATTCTATAATTAAAAAAATTCTATAACTTCTAATTTCTTTCTTTCAATTTTTTTTTCTATAATTTTTTCTCAGAATAGTGGAATGAAGAAATATTGTAGAGGCCAAAAGAAGCAAATCCAATGAAATAGAGTAGTGTTCCCACTTCAAAATTAACAAAAGACAAACATCCATATCCTGAAAAACCCAAAATTATGACCATGGATAGATCCAAACTATAATCTTAACACATCACTATCCATATATCACAAGTCATAAGTTGAATCAGAAAATTCTAATGGAACTTAATAATATTCAAGCACAAACTATGGAAAAAATATTACTCCATTAATTTGTCATGAATTACTTGTCATTATTTAACTTTCAGAAAAATTGACAAAAAAAATAGTATTGAAATATTAAAATTTTAATTTTTTTTATAAAATTGATGTATTATGATTTTTAATGTCAATTTTTTTAAAAAAATATCATGAAAAATATAGTTCTTTATCAATTAGCCTTCACATTTACATTTTTAAATGTTTTGAATTTAGGTTCTTCCTCATATTTATGAATATCTATATATTTTCATTTTTCTTTTACATTGTGGTATTAAAAATCAATTAATAAAAAATCGTAAAGTGAAAAACGTTTTTCTTTAATTATGTGTCAAAGCATTGCACTAATTAATACTTTTAACAATTAAAGAAGTATAATGTATAATTTTCATCTCAAATACTTAAAAAGGATTGCAGATTGATATGCACATTACAGTTGAAAAGGAGAAGAAAGATGATATTATACCTGTCAAGTGGTTATGCCAAAAATCAAGGTGCTTAATAGAAGTCAGGTTTCCAACGGTTGGTGGAATTTCACCTGAAACACAAAATTCAATCCCTCAAACTAAGTAAAAATTTTACCTAGCTTTTTCTTCTTTGAGTACTAGGCATCTATTTTATTTATCTTTATTTTTCAAAAAAACAAAATGGTTCAAATTTCCCATTTCTTAAGGCACACTTCCCTCCAAGGCATTGATTTCTAACTCTTGACCTTTGAATAAACTGGTTGAAATTCTACCAGAAAGATGGTTGGATCTTAATTAAACCTAGAGGAAGCTGATCAAATATAGCTGATGGAAGTCCATCTACAATGAGATTATTAGTGTTGAAATCAATATTTGCAATAAAGAAATATTGATTATGGAGAAAGTTATGCAATCTGAAAACAGATTATCTCCCAAATGAAATAATTTTAACTTAGAAAGATTTCTGATTGGTGTAGGAATCTACCCTTTCATATCATTACCATCAACATCTCAATGTTTGACGAAGAGCGCAAAGAAGACAGGATAACACCAGAAAAGTGATTAGTGTACAAAAGATGAAGAAGGTTAAAGCGTGGGATCAAGAAAGAAGAAGAAGGAGAAGAAATTGCTCAAGTTGTGCTCCAGGAAGAATAGTAGTGTGGAAAGAAGGTCGATGTTGGTGCTGAAAGGGTGTCCGAGGGAAGTTGATGGTGACAATGGTACAATAATTGTTATTCCTGAAAGTTGTCTAAGGCTTGAGGAATTAGAAGACATTGAGATTAATAGCTCGGGTGAGGAGTCCAGATTACTGAGTACTGAGCACTCTAATAAGGAGACGGTCGAAGAGTCAACTGAGGTTCATGATGTGTTAGTGGGTTGAAATGATACGAGAAATATTGATAATGAGGCATTAGCTTCAGTTGAAGGGTCCTTCCAAGAAGCTGATTTGGTGGATGTTCTACTGACTGAACAAGAAGAACGATTAATGGATGTTGGTGGATTTGGTTTTTTTATGTCTCCTGTTGCAGAAAGGTTGGTTAAAAACTTTAAGTCCCTTCGTCTGGCTAAAGAAAAAATACAGGGCTCAGTGTTCGCATAGGATCCGGTGTGAGGAAGAGGAGGAAAATCAGAAGAAATCTTCGGGATATTCTCTCAGGTAGGAATTCATATGACTCCCTTTCCGACAGTGACATATTAAGAAGAAACATGATTATTATTCAAGAGCTGAAACAACCTGGAATGTGTCATCTCGATTGGGAATTGTTTTTGAAACCAATAGACGTGAAGTGGTCTTGTGAGTTTTCGAGATTGAAGGAGGAAAATAGGGCAAAAGCAGCACATTAAGCTCTTGTGAGTTTTGTGTGTTCTATTATGATTAAGATTTTTGTAACTTGGAACGTAACAGGGTTTGGCAGAGGAGAGAAGAAGCAAGCAGTTAGAAGACTCATTAGTAGGACAAAACCGGATGTTGTTTTTCAACAAGAGTCGAAGTTGAGTAGAAAGTTTAGTAGATATATCAACTTCTTAGATGGGGGTCAAGACTTTAAATTCGAACAATCAGAGGTGGTTGGGGCTGCTGGTGATCTTATTAGCTTATGGAGAAGCTTTTTTTAGTTAGATTCAAGTACAGTGGAAAGGCACTACATCCTGTTAGTGGATGGTATCAGAAAAGGGGATTGAAAATGTGGTTTGGGCAACATTTATGTTCCAAATGAGGTTGGGGCCAGAAGTGAGCCACGGCTTGATTTGATTGATAAATTAAAGGATCTAAGTGTTAAGTGGTGCATTGATAAATTAATAGCGTCGTAGTGGTTTGGCTGATGGTAGGAGCTCTGTGGAATTTGTTGGCTTCATTAACGCCATTCAAATGATCAATATGCCTATGGTAGGTGGCAAATTCACTCGGGGAAGAATTAGAGGGAGTTCATCCTTCAGCTGAATTGACAGATTTCTGGTGGATCCTATTTTCTTTGATTGGCAAGATAAAATGATTCAAAAATGCCTTTCAAGATCTTTATCAAATCGCAATCCAATGTGATTTAGTGGAGAGGTGCTTGATTGGGGTCTGAAACCATTCAAAATATTTAACCACTTGTTGGATAAAGGAGACTTTCAAAAAATATTTGAGTTTGCTTAGTAAGTGATTCAGGGGAGTCAAGCAATAGCGGAATTTGGCACAGACTGAGAGCCATGAAACCTAAAATTAAGGAATGGCATAACAACCTGAAGAGATCGAGAAGCTTGGATTGTCCATTCATGAGAAAACAATGGCTACTCAATATGGGGGTGAGGATTTTGAAATAAGGAATGAATTAGTAATGACGAAATCTAGACTACCGGAGCTTTATAAGGCTGAAGCAAGATCGTGGTAGCAGAAATCTAGAATTAGGTGGTTCTTGGAAGGAGATCATAATACTCTATTTTTCATGCAGTTGCTTCTGGAAGAAGAAGGGTTAACTCTATTAATAGTTTAATAATCCAGGGAAGGTTAGTGGACAACCTTGGTATGATTAAAGAAGAGGTTGCGAATTTTTATCAGTTGGAATTTTTGGTCTGACAAATCTAAGTTTAGAGGACCCAGTTAGTGGAAGTCATATTTTTTCTACTGTTAAAGACACATTACGACGGGCCGGACCTAAGAAATTGGAATTTAGGTCTCCATAGTCAAAAGTATCCCACACCATTAGAAACCTGCTAAATCTAGACCACTTACATTCGTTTCAAGACCTTCTTTCTCAAATAATTTTGTGGATTTTAAATCTTACTCGTGTTTGGGCCCGTTTCGTCGTATTGTCAATTTTTATATATCATTCATAAGATTTTTATTTACTTGTGTAATTAAACTAAAATCATAAATATAAACTCACGAATAAAAATAACTTACCACTTAATTATTTTAATTTTTCTAAAGGAATGTCCATAGTAAGCATACCTGTTAAGTTGTTTGAACTGAAGAACAAGTTGTTTACTTTAGTCAAATTCCCGATTTCTGGAGGCACACTTCCCTCCAAGGCATTGCTAGATAAAATTAAATCTTCTAACTCTTGGCACTTGAATAAACTGGTTGGAATTTTACCTGAAAGATTGTTCAATCCCAAAATTAGAGATTGTAATTTAGGAAGGTGATCAAATAAAGCCAATGGAAGTTAAACCTCCAATGAGATTATTAGTGTTGAAATCAATATTCGCAATAAAGATATATTGAAGATCGAAAAAGATATGCAACCTGAAAGATGATTCTGTTCCAAGTTCAACGATTTTAACTTGGAAAGATTTCCGATTGTTACAGGAATCTGCCCTTCCAAATCATTGTCATATAGGAACAACTCCTTAAGCTTTGACAAAGAACCCAAAGAAAATGGGATAATACCAGAAAAGTTGTTACTGTACAGAGACAATCCCTGAAGTTGAGTGAAGGAATCAAACCATGATGGGATTTCCCCAACGAAGTTGTTGTTACCAAAGTTTATATATTGCAAGGAAGACAAATTAGCCAACTCCATGGGTAACGAGCCTCGAAAGTTGTTGTTTCGGATGTCAAGCTGAGTAAGTGAAGAGATATTCCCCAAGTGAGGCGGGATGGTGCCTATAAGACCCATGTCAGAAAGATTAAGAGTGATGACTCTTTGATGATCGGATCTGCAAGTGACACCAATCCAATCGCAAACAGAGGTGGTAGTCGACCAGTTGGTTGCCAATATGTTTTGAGGGTCACGAGTGACATGGGCCTTTAGTGCAAGAAGAGCCAATTGGTCAATGGTGATATTGGGTGATTCTGCTGAGAAAGCAGCGACAAAGTTGAGTAACACCGTAAGAGGGAGGAGGAAGCCAGTATTTTCCATATGGTTATAGTTGTGGTTGAGGCAAATTTAAAAAGAAACACCTGAGTTTGTTTCATCATTGTGTTGGTTGATGCTCTCATTCTTTAAATAATAGCACACGCACGTTTCGAACTTGCTCGAAGGCTTGAAGCATTCTTTGCGAGGCTATGCGGTTGACTAGTTCTATAGATTTTTGCACTGTAAAAAGGCCCTGCAAATCAAAGAAAAGCAAAATGGACAAATGGTCGTTTCAGTTAGGAAAAGCAAATGTTTGATTGTTAATGACGCGTCGGTCTCCACACGTTATGGACACCAAATACATATTGAACAAGAAATCTGTAAAATGCTCCTGCAATTCCATAAACTGGTACAGTGTTCACACGCAGCTCTTAGCTAAAAAACAAAGTATAAAAACCTGGTCCAGTTCATTTAGCAACCAATGAACTGATAGAAAGTGAAGAAACAAAGTGTAAAAGGAATAAAAAAGGGAGTCCCTATATGGAAGTTACCTACCTCGTATGAAAAGGTATGGAAATTTCAATTTTTCGACAGTTTGGTGGAAGCTAATGAAAGCAGAGACCAGCCAGAAAATGAATATATAAGAAAATAATCAATAATAAAAAATTGTAACTCGTACAACGATTAGTGAGAAAATTGTTGATTATTCCCATTGTTAGCTGAAGTATGTGGACTTGGGAATTTTGCAAAGGCTGGCTGGTAATTAAGCTTTTGAAAAATCGTTCCTGCCATCATTTTGCAAAGCTTTTACGTATGAAGATGGGCAGAGACCAGAAGGCCTTCAGCTTGGTTGAATAGCTTCGTTTGAACTTTCATTTCGGTTGATGACTTTGACTTTTGATCAAAAACTCGATTGTAATTAATTTATTTTCAATCACAAAAAATAAATAAAGATTTATTATTATTTTCAATGGCAGTACTTAAATGCACCTTATCCTCAAGTCATGGGACCCTAATTTATTGGTCTCTTGAGAGAAAATTCTTTCAATAAACTTCACGTCAAATCAAGCATTTTCGTTTTTTCTACTCTTATTATAAAGCTTCAACACCTCCAAACAAAATTAATAAATTGCACTTGAATATTTGATTCATTAGTTGATACATGATCATTTTATCTAAAGAGCAGTGTTCAAACCCCTTGCACTTGACCATTTGGTTTATTAGATTATACATGATCCCCTTAGTTACAGAGCAGTGTTCAAACTCCCCTCCTCCAATTATAAAAATAAAATAAAATTAATAAATAATTACAAAATGACTAAACATTAATACATTGTAACATCATAATCTCGTTGAAAACTACTCATAATGAATTAGATAGATTAAATAAGTGCTATACGTACCACCATTAACTTGAGTTACTTGAGACAGTATATAGTTGTAAGGTATAAGGTTCCTTTTCCTTTTCTTGTTTGGAATTAATCAGTAAAATTCACCAACATTTATCTTCCTTAATTACTAATTACAAGATGTAGTCGAACTATACAGTGTTTATAGGAGGATAGAATCAGTAATTGATATTATTACCTCCCACACATTCATTTATTCCTTCTCAAATGCTTGATGGTAATATTCCCCCATTCAACATTGAGTGTATTGTCTTTTTTGTTTTTTTTTTCTTCTTTTCTTATCAAACCCTTGATCTTTTAAAAGTGATTTTACTTATACACACAAATATATATATATATATATATAAATTAATTAACGAGTTACTCTACTCAACTCAAAATCATACTTTTTCCTGCTCTTTTCCAATCCTAATTGTACACAAAATTTTAATTTTTTGGTGATGCTATTCCTTGATTATGCCCATTTTTTCTTATCTTTGTTCTTTTTAAACAACAAGATTTAATCTTTGCAGTAGGACTTTCTCTGCTTTTTTGGATAAATATAACTTATATTTATCCAAAAACTCTTAAATATTACTATACCCAAAATTAAATTCATAGTTAATACTATAGCATACCTAACTTACTTTATCACCCATTCATGATATTATATATATAGTATCATTTAAATATCGTGAGAAGAAGTTCACCAAATATACAAATAACAATTTTATCGTTCAACACAAAACTTCATTACAAATTAAAGAAGGGTAATCCTGTCAGTGATGAAGTGATAAACCCAATATTAGCTAAAAAAAACTACTATCATTTCATTTCTCAGAAATGAAATGGAATTTGAATGAATCTTTATTATTTAGATGAGGTGAATAATATTTATTTTTCATTTGAATGAACATGCTCATATATTGTTTTCCAATCCTTTCAATGAATGCAGCCAGAGGGCGGAGCCTCCTTATAGGATGGCCTCCCCAAATTTTTTTTTAAAAAATTTACATATTATATAAAAATTTTTAAATTTTTTATAAAACTTCTTAATGGCCCCCCAAAATAATTTTTTATTTAATAATTAATACAAATAAAAAATAACAAAATAACTTTATATGCTTTACTCAATTTTAAAGGTTTTTAAATTTTTTTTCTTTCAATTTATATTATTTTTATATTTATTTATTTATTTTTATTTTATTTACTCATATATATTCTAAATCTTTATAGATTTTTTTTTATAAATTTCTATGAACCATCGATCATATTCTTTTTCTTTCTTTTTTATTATGTCATATGTAAATTTTATCTTCTACTTATCACGTTCTTCTTTTTTCTATTATATGGATTTTATTTCTTATGATTTTAATCTTTAAAAATAAATAAATTATTTGATAATTCTCAAATATAAATTGCAGTATTGCACTATTACTTAGAATTTTATCAATATATTATTTTTTATTCAGAATAATCAATTCATTCTAATATGTATGTTGCAAACTTTAAATAATAAGGATATACATACAAATTGATAGAATGAAATAATTATATTTCTTTCAAAATAATTTTTTATTTAATAATTAGTTTTATTCTTCAAACTGTTTAATAAAATTAGAGTCATTATGATTCACATATTACTAGTTAAACCCAATAAATGAATTATAAATTAATATATTAAGCCTATCAAATTTTTTTTAAAAAATAAAAGTAAGTCTACGAATCCAAACCCATTAAGTTTTAATGTAAATTTAAGTCTATCATAACTTATAAATATCTTAACACTCTAACTTAATAGCCTATCATAATATATTATATATTAATAGTTGAATTCAATAACCCAATATATTAATTAGCAATTTAAGAGGCAAATAAAAAATAAGAATAGAGCTAGAACACACAAAGTAAAGAGGCAATTCATTTGAATTTGAAAAACCCTTAGTTTTTGTGACTAAGGCATTTTCAACAAAATCTTCTCCTCTAAGAGCTCTCTTATGCTATTGGGCTAGTAGAGCATTGATAAGCTCATTTACAAAAATCTTTGTTAAGTCCTTAAAAGTCTTCCAAAAAGGATATTTTAGATTCAAACCTCTCTAATAGACTTATCCAGAAGTTGTTCACAACTTACCTCTCGGTTACCTCTTCTCTTAGTAGTCTCAGCTAGTTGACAATCTTTAGAACTCTGTCTACATATGCTTGAATTCTTTCTTCATTCTTCATCTTTAGAAGCTCAAATTCCCTTAATAGATTCAAAATCTGTATCATCTTGGTTCTATCATTGCCTTGGAACTCTTCCCTCAGGGTATCCCAAACAAGGTTTAGATCATCACAGTTTATAATTTTGGCAAAATGGTGTCAGAAATTGCAGATTGAAAACATGACAAGGCCTTATACCTTTTAGCAACCTCCTCGTTATGTTGCTTAATTTAAGCTAGTGAAGGATTCACATGCCTCTGTACTAGAATTTCTTCAAATTCGATGCCCTTTCAAAGATCAAAAGTTTTGAGATATGACCACATCTTCATTGCCTAAATTTGGTAGTTTGAGCTTGAGAAAATCAGTGGTGATGATGTAGAGAACCCTATAGTAGCCATTAATACTAGATTCTAATCAACAGATGAGTTTTCAAATACTGATTTGCTAAACAGTAAGTCCTTTAAAACTAATGCTCTAATACCATGAAGAAGTATTTTTCAAAAAAAAAAGGTTTTTGAAAATAATCTCCATTAAAGAAACAAAAAACCAAGATAATGGATAAAAAGAAAAAACAAACCAGCGAGTAGGAAGCAACCAACCTATAATGGTTGTATTGTCATTTACATACTCTCAAAAATATTAGCAAACCCCTTAGATTCAGCCTTAGGAGATTAAATTGAGGTAAGTTAACTAAGCAAAAAAAACAATGTATTATTTTTTGTGCAATAGCAACAGTAACAAATACAGAAAGAACAACTATAGCTGTTAAGCCTTTTAATAGAGGAACAAAATGACAGCACTAATGTGCATACAAAAGAAATAAAGAGCATGAAGAAACGACACAAAGGAGTGTCATACAACTAAAACACCCAAAACGACTCAACATTTAACCTTTCACCATAACTAAAATTAAAAGCAGTAAAATGACATGCTGGCCAGTGTTTAGACACTTAACATTAGACACAAGACAAATGACACCATATATAACCAAGCCTTCTTCAATCTTCAGTTATCAATTGAATCTCACCGTAACTATCTGTTAATGAAATCCAGATAAAGGGTCATTTCTTCAACAAGCTAGCCTCATCAAGTTTTTGGACTATAATGTCAACTTTCATCATGAGCTTATATTTGTTGGGGACTTGAGTTCCAGCTTGCATGCACATTTCAACCACAGTTGGAGCCTTGCCATTAAATCTTTTTAATGTACCTTTCAAGGGAGGTCCCTTTGGGTCTCAACTATGCCAAACATAATTTGATGGGAAAACTTCAGTAACTGTAGCATCCTGCCAATCATGTTTCCCATATTTCCACCGATGCTTAAATTTTTCACAAAGTTTAGCATTGTAACCCCATGGCCATACATGGACCTCTAAGTAATATCCTCATGCTTTTACAGTGTACTTCTTTATCAACTTTGTCACACCTAATCGAACAATCTCATGTGCATTAATTGTCTCTTATGCAATGCTTGGAACATCTTCAAGTGGAGGAGGTGGAAATAACCCACAAGCTCAAAAAGTGTTAAGATCAACAATTGAGGACAGGGATGGATCCACTGAGCGCCATGGCTAGATATATCATTTTTTAAAAATTTATTAGCAAGATATTGTTTTTTTCTAACTCAAGACATTGACATCGAATTGAACATATACTTCAATATCTCCGAGGAATGATAGACATGTGCTTATATTACTCAAATGAATCAAAATCAAATTTAATTGGTTATGTAGATGCAAAATAATCATTTGACTCATACAAGGCTCGATTGCAAATAGGTTGCTTATTCACATGTGGAGGTATGACTATTTCATAATATTTTGTAAAACAAACTATATTTTCTATTTCTTCTAACCTTGCAGAAATTTTGACAATTCATGAAGCAAGTAGTGAATATGTCTGGCTAAGTTCTATAACTTAATATATTTGAGGAACATGTGGCCTGTTAACCAAGAAAGAAATTTCAACAACGTTATATGAGGATAATACTGCTTATATAGCACAATTAAAGAAAAGATACATTAAAAGCTATAGAACAAAACATATTTCGTCAAAATTCTTCTTGACTCATGATCTCCAAGAAATTGGTGATATTAGTGTTTAACAAATTTGTTCAAGTAACAATCTAACAGATTTATTCATCAAAAGTCTTTCCTTTTGCAACATTTGAAAAGTTGGTATAAAATATTAGAATACGTTGTTTTAAAGATCTTAAATAATATAACCATCAAGAGAGTAAAATACGCACTGTACTCTTTTCCTTCATTAAGATTTTTCCCGTTGAGTTTTTCTTGATAAGGTTTTTAATGAAATAGTATTTTAAAAGCATAGTTTTGAAAAGAAATATGTACTCTTTTTCGTTCACTCGTATTTTTCCTATGAGGTTTTTTTCTAGTAAGGTACTAACAAGGCATATACTTAATACCATAGATATTCAAGGAAGAATGGTATGAATATATATATATATATATATATATATATATATATATGAATATCTATTTTGTTATATATATCTAAATTTGAATAGATTGGATTAAGATTAAGATTTAATTCATCCATCTAAACTCTTAGTATTATTTTTATTTTGTAAATTCTATTTAGTTAAGGGATTGTTAATCTATAAAGAGACCCTTACTTTATTTGTAGATATACACTTGAATAAGACCTTCTTACTCTCTCTAAGTATTTTCTCTAATAATTGTCTTTTCAAATTATATTTCTTAACAAATATGAAACAAATAAAAAAATTTTCTCGATACATAATAAAAAAATTATAAAAAAAAAGTTATTCAAGCTCAACAAGCCCTAAAGCCAATTGAAAATTTTGCCAAATCTTGGCCCAAATAAGAGAATAGAGATGCCCAAAAGCGTCCAAAAGCATGTTTGGCTTAGGTTTTTTTTTAGCTGAAAAGTTATTATAAAACATTTGTGAAAAATAATAATTTTTAAAATTAAGTTAAAATTATTTGATAAATTTACTTTTTATAAGCTCTTTTTTATAGATAAACTGTTTGGCAAAATAACTTATATAAATTTTAATTTTTGTTAAAATTATTATAAAAGGTATTTAATAAATAAATTTCTATTAATCATAAATTTCTTTATTCAAAATAGAAAAAAAAGTTAACTTTATTTTTTATCTATTTAAAATATATTTTTAAAAATATAAAATGTATTTTTATATAACATAAAGTTTATAATTAATAATAAATCATAAAACAAGTTTCACAAATAATTTATAAGTAACACATAATTTATATATAATTCATAAATTAATTATGAGTGTCATATCATCTGTTGGGTACTGTTAGCTTAAATGTGAAATTCATTACTAAGAAGTTAAGGGATTTTATAATTCTTATTGTTAGAGGAAATAAATTCTATTTCAATTTTTTCATAATACTACCTATTGTTATACCAAAATAAAATTTTTTAAAATTGAGTTACCACAAACATATTACATATATTGACTTTTTAATTTTCATCTAATTTATCTCAACAACCATTAACCTGTTTGATTAATTATTGCAATAATAATCAACAAATATTACATACATTAGAAAAATATTAAGAATAAATAAACACCACATATTATTATATCAAACAATAAATTGAGAACTATCAAACAATAAAAAGAGTTTTGAAAGCCCAAAAAGAAAACATAAAAGTTAAAATAAAAAATAAAATAGAAAGAAAAAGAAAAAATAATACCTTAATACAGTTTTGAATTTTGAGTCTTATTTTTTTTTACTTTTTTTAAAATAAAAAAAAATCTTAAAAGGATGATTTGTAAAAAGGAAGAGAGGAGAGAGAGATCAATAAGAAAAAAAAAAAGAGGGGTATTTTTTAAGAGAAATTTTTTTTTAAAAAAAATAACCTTTCTAAAAAACTGACATATTTTTAAAAAAATAAACAAAGAAAGTTTCTATTAAAACTTTTTTAAATTTTTTTTATAAATTTCTCATAAAATAGTATTTTAGTCTAACTTCTGTTTTCAAAAAAAAAAATAAGTTAAAAATAAATCAAATCCAACAGACACTGACGTAAAATGGGCCTTAACAGGCTGCTCAGCCCATGATCAGCCACTACTTGATTTGTTTAACATTTTGACGGGACACAGTGCGTTAGCTTGTCCAAGACACCTCGGCTCCCGATTTTCGAAATCTTGTTAAGTACATAGGCGGGTAGGGAGGAAGGAACTGGGAAGAAGAATAACCCAAAAACCCCTCCAAAGAATTTTCATCAACAATGGATTTGGACCCGGAAGATGTTTTCAAGGATGAAGAAGACGACTCAGACAACGAAATCTTCCAGGTTTCTTCTATTTTTCCTTTCTTTTCTTCTGTATTCTTCTCCATGGTAAAGAAATGGGAATTGTAGTGCTTTGTTTTTGTCCTATTTTGCAGCAAAGTGCGAGCTCTAAAGAGTATGCCGTTTACTTGGTCGACGCTTCTCCCAAAATGTTCAACACTACCTGTCCTGGTGTAAGTTTTCTATACTCTGTATAGAAAAGAAAAAAAAATACCCATTTCCTTTTCCAATCTCTTATCTTTCATTCTCTTAGCATTTTATATATAAATAACTATACTCGATTGGGTTTTCTTTTGTTTTTAATCTCCTGGTTTAATATGGTGGTTAAATTGTTCATCAATGGTTATATTATTTGGTTAACATGTGTTGCTTTTTTCTATTTGAAATGCAATGTGACTAGCAGTTCTTGAATTTTTATTTATCTTATTTGTTTAAACATTGACAGAAAGATCAAAAGGATGAAACTCATTTCCACCTCGCCGTCAGCTGTATTGCAGAATCGCTCAAGACTCAAATCATTAGTAGATCATATGATGAAGTTGCAATTTGCTTCTTTAACACTGTAAGATTCAATTCTAGCTAACTCTGCCATTTAGCAGACATTAATTACTATTTTATTTGATGTAGTTAGAACCTGTACTCCTTTTATAGGAAAAAGGCAGAGCAGGGCTTTCACTTAAGGCATAACATTGTAGTCGCACAGTTACAGCTAACAATTGGCAAAGCATGCGACTTTAGCACATTATACTCTTTTCAACACAAACCAAAGGGTAAAGCAGAAGAATAAATGAAGTAGATTCCATGTTCTACAATGACCTTAGTTTGTATTTTAACTGATTCAATGTGGTAGGAAGCTACATGATCTTAGTAGCATACAGAAACATTTCCAAAATATAATCATGCCCTTTCATTGTTTAGTTACAAAAATGCAGGCTTGAATACCTATTATATCCCTTGCTTCAAAATAGGATCTGGGGCAATTGTCCCATCTTCTTGGCTTTGAGGTCCCCAGTAACTATTTTAAAAAATCTGGCATTTGGCTTGAAGATGCTTCTTGTCTATACTATTTCAATACTATTTCATGCACGGATAGTGATGAGAAATAGCAGAGTTCCTTACAACTCGCGCTTAAACAAAGTTAAAAAATAAGAAATGCAAGTTTTTGTCGTCCAATAGGACAAATACTAATACCTTACTTGAATCTGTTAAGATCAGATCTTTTTATCAAAGTCTGATTGTTTGGTCTGATATTGCAAAACCGTTCATAAACAGTTGCATAAGTGATGAATGCTAGAACCAGATCTAAATGTTGTTAGATAAGTGGCCCGTAATATGAGGACTAGTTATGAACCTAGTAATTAGAGCTCAAGTTCCCATCAACTGATGATTATATCAATAACAAATCAGGTAGTCAAGAAATGATTTTCCTAGGATGGGTTATTTTTCTGTCAACTCTCTTGCTGCTTTCGTTTTGTTTTCTCTTCCCTTTTAACATGAACTGTTATCTATGAATATACTAGAGGAGATGAATAAGTTTTTTAAGGGTAAAGTTTTAAGATCGTTGCTTGCATCCGACTCCGCTCACATTCCCCAAGATTTGAACAGGTGAAGTATCTTTTGTATGTAACCCTTGTTTAATGTTGTTAATTTGTCATTCTTTATTTTGGTCTAGCCTAAGTTGCATCTTTGTTTGTGTCTATCCTACAATGAGGTTATGGTCATATTAGCTCCTCCTACTAGTCAATAGTTTGCTAGAATGTAGGATAACTCCTCTTAGTTTGTTTTCGTATAGTCCGCTATATGCTCATCATGTATGCTGCCTGTGATATAGTTTCTTACCATCTTTGTTTTCTGAATGCAGAGGGAAAAGAAGAATTTGCAGGATTTAAATGGTGTTTTTGTTTTTAATGTTGCTGAAAGGGAGCACCTAGACAGGCCAACAGCAAGACTTATAAAAGAATTTGACTGTTTACAAGGTAAATTTTGTTCAAAATGAATTTGTGTTTTATGGAGATCAATGATGAAAATCTGATTCTAAGCTTGGGTCTGCCTTCTTTGGATCTGCATTGTTTCTACAGTACCTTAAACCGATGGTTAAAGTACTAGATTTCTAAAGTTCACTATATTTTAATTTGATGCAGTGAATGTGATCTTTTATATTAAAAATTTGTAGTTACAAAATTATGAGTCACTAACATACATCTTGTTATGAGCTAGTGCAGAATCATTTATGAGAGAAATTGGGAGTCAGTATGGTATTGTGCCTGGGTCTCGGGAGAATTCTCTTTACAATGCTCTCTGGGTTGCCCAAGCTCTTCTCCGTAAAGGGTATGCTTACCTTTTGGATTTTTCATATGACTAAGCATGGAATTTTTTTCTTCTTTTGTTTCCCAAGGTTCCTGTATCTGGCTTTGTAATTTTTGACAGCACAACTCTTTCAGGTCTATTAAGACAGCTGATAAGAGGATTCTTCTCTTTACTAATGAAGATGATCCTTTTGGACGTCTCCAGGGTGCTGCAAAAGCAGATATGACAAGAACTTCATTGCAGCGAGCTAAAGTAAAATAAATATAAAGTTGCATATGCTTTACGATTCAGTGTTCCATGAATGCAATTTATCAAACAGAATTTCATTACCAGATTATGTCATCAGCATTCTTCTTTACCTCTCTTGTGTTTTCTTTATAGGATGCACAAGATCTTGGAATCTCAATTGAACTTCTTCCCTTGAGTTGTCCAGATGAGGAGTTTAATGTTAAAGTTTTCTATGCTGTATGTTTATTCTTTCATGTTGTGTTTTCTTGTGCAGATTGCATGGCTGATTTTATGTATTTATGTCAGTTACCAATCTTTATGTCTTTCAGGATTTGCTAGGTTTAGATGGTGAAGACCTTGTTCAATTTATGCCTTCTGCTGGCCAGAAGTATGTGTTTATGGTTTTATATATTTACCTTATCTCTTTTGTGCAATCACTTGATATCTGTTAGGCATTATACTTTTAAGTGAGAGAACCAGCTATGTCCACAAATCTGACATTGTTTGCATATAACAATTTTCTGAGTTCTGCAATCAGTTTCACTCATATTTCATATGAGTTGGAAATTGAAAGCATGTGGTTAAGCACTGTTTATGAACTCTTTCCTTATGCATAGAACTAATATTAACTTTCAATGGATATTTCTAAATTTAGTAATCTTTATTGATTTTTTTCTGGGCCACCAGTTTTTTAATGAAGCAAAGGTATACCTGGGAAGAGGTGCCCCGCTAAAAGATCTATATCTAAGTACATTCACATTCATCTAGTTTCAACATTTCTGTTTAATGAAATTGCCCATAATCTAATTTCAGATTGGAAGATATGAAAGATCAACTGAGGAAACGTATGTTCACAAAGAGGATTATTAGAAAGATCACATTTGTTATCACCAATGGATTGTCAATTCAGCTGAATACTTATGCTTTAATTCGTCCAACTGTTCCAGGTAGACAGTACTCCATGTTCTAATTAAATTTTGGATGTCACCCAGTACCATACTTCATAACTTTTTTTCCCCTATATTCCTAGGGGCAATTACATGGCTTGATTCTGTCACTAATCTTCCTTTAAAGGTAACTACAAGTTGTTCTTTATGTCTCAGGAGTGCAGGTTCTTATATTTGGTAATTCTGAAAAGATTCATGCTGTGTGACAACCGAAAATGATTATTTATACAACTATAAGCATCGGTGATCTAATTTGGAATGCTTTTCTATTTTAAGCTTTTATATTCTTGACATTCCAACTTTTTCTCCCTCTTACAAATTTTTACATATTTCTGTCTGTCTGTCTCTCACTATCCTGCCCCACCTATCCTCTTTTCTTGGGATATCTATAACTGAATTTAGTTAAAAGATTTTTCACAATTTAAGATGTGACATGTAGATACATTTTAGCATATTAGACAGTGCTTGTTTTGCTTTATACATGTATTATGGAGTAAGATATCATTGTAGAGTTTTGTATACATAATTTATATTTTTCTTAATGGAGCTAGAAGAGAGAGTGGGCTTTTAAGCTGTGTGGTTTTTGTGGTATCATTTTCCTTGATGAAATCCTTGCTTCTCTGTATTGCGAGATATTTTATTGAGGGTAAGGTAGAAAGAAATGTCATCAGGAAGTTTACTGCTTGTTTAGCATTTGTGATTTTTTATTTATTTTTCCATATGTGGAAGTGAAGCTGTAGTTATACATTTCAAGTTTCATTATTTAATGATATGGTGCAGATTGAAAGATCTTTGATCTGTGAGGATACTGGTGCATTGATTCAGGAGCCTCCTAAACGCTTTCAGCCCTATAGAAAGTAAGCATAGCTACCATCCATAGTTATTCATCTGATAAAATACGGAAAGAGATTATGCGTGTAAATTTTTGAAAACTCCATGCACATGGCCAGTTATGTGTAAAATATTTGTCACTTACTGGATATTGGTCTTAATAGTGGATTCAGTATATTGTGACATTGTGTTTCTTTCCTCAAGGAAAATCAATAATGTAAAGTTTCCCTTTTCCTCATTTTATTAGAATTACCTCTGATATTGGGATGATTCTTGGGGACAATTTTATTCAAGAAGCAATACAAGATATTTTTTATATTTTCTTTAATAAAGACCAAAAACCTTTTTCTAATAGAAAATAATTCATCAAAAGGGCAAAGGTAAAAATGTTATTTCTGTTAATTGCTAATATCTGTGATGCATATTATGGGGCAAACATGGCAGCTTATGTCCTTCATTGATGAAAGAAGTTTTCCAATGTAGAGTATCTTCCTATCGCTGTGATGGTTGTGTTGTTGGTCCATTAGGGTTAATAAAAAATGTTCTCTAATTTAGAAGGAACTTCCTGTCATGATGATGGTTGGGTTATTGATTCATCAGGGAATGACATAGTTTATGTCTTTAAGACATGCATTTGAAACCTTTCCATATGTTATATTTGTTAATATTTCAGTTTAGTTTTCTATAATTTGTTCCTAATCAACCCCCCCGCACAACCATACTTTACAGTGAGAATGTCAAGTTCTCGATGGATGAAATATCTGAAATGAAAAGAATATCAACAGGATGCCTTCGTCTTCTTGGATTCAAGCCATTAAGATGCTTAAAAGATTATCACAACTTGAGGCCATCGACGTTTGTATATCCTAGTGACCAGGTTTCTTTAGTATTTCCTCATATGATATAGATGTTTATTTTCTTCAATTTTTTGCATCTTCTTTGATCTTGATCTTGTAGATTTTCCTATGTCAAAACTTATTTGTTTTTCGAATGTCTTTCTCTCTCAGTTATTGAAATTAAGAAAGGGAATTGTAATGTACTACAATCATTTTACATGAATGATAATTTTGATTAGGACTACTTTCTTAATACATAGAATACAAGTTTAGTGGAAGTACAATTGAATGTTTATTACTTGTTTTATTTTTTCTTTCGAAACTTATGGAACTATGCTGCAGTCATGAGAAAAAGAAAAATGAGTTAACTTTAGAGAAGGCAGATGCATTTGAACTCTTGCTTGTGCAAAAATATATGTTGCTGAGATAGTTAATATTTTTGTTATGAGTGTTGATCCTTTCTCTATCCATCTGGCTGACCTTCAATAAACTCTCGCCTTTCCTCCTGTAAGATATCATTGAAGAGTTTTGAATGCAACAGTAATCAAGAGAGTTTTAAAAGAACCTATAAAAATTCCTTGTATAATAGTGACCCAAGCTCCTTTGCCTCATTCAAATGTAAGGTGTCACCTCTGAGTCCTTACCATTCTGATAACCTGCTGGGTTGTTTTATCGAAGACACCCTCAAATGAGGACCAGAGATCACAATACATAGTCCTCATAAAGCATATTAACAACATCTGAGAACATATTAGCGAAACATGGGTGGTCCAAGCTCAACTCATTTTTTATGCAGGTCTATGTATCTTTCTAGTTGGCCTTTTTGTATTTGATTGAGGTTAAATTACCATCTTAAGGGGCCAACATCAACCTGTTCATATTCAGCTTAGTTGCAGCTGATGATGCTGTAACATGGTTAATCACTGATATTATGATGTGGATACACCTATGCAGGCCGCTGTTTGTTCCTTAGTGTCCTTAGGTTTAATGAACCTCCATATTTTTGTTTTTTAGAATTACTAAACTTTTTCTGGTTGACCAATATAGGAAGTGGTTGGTAGCACCTGCATTTTCATTGCCTTGTACAGATCTATGCTACAGCTCAAGCGGTTAGTTCTTTGCAACTTCACCTTTTATGTGCTGTTCTACTGTTACTGTTATTCTTCGAACTAAACTACTAAAAGTGTCATGTGCATTGTTCTCGTTGTGAGATATAACATATGATTCAATCTAATATGGTGTTTTTCTTATCTCAGTGAACATTAGTAATTCCTAAATTGGATTTCAGGAATTCTTTTCTGCATGTGTAGTATCCTTTATAGATTTTGTCATTTTGATCATCACATTGTACATAGATACTAGTCATCTCATGGGTTCTCATTTGCAAGGATGAGGAGACAAAGGGATAGCTTCCAAAGTTTCTTGTAATGGATTACTGAAGTAACTCTGAGGCAATGAAATGATTGGGAGGAAATGGAAATTAAAACCATTTGCCAGTTTTTTTTCACTTTTTGTGTTCAGTTTCGAGAAAATACCACTTACTATGTGGCATGCTCCCATACAAAAGCTTTTCCTTCAACTATTCCAACTGTAAAATAGGAAAGTTTTTATGACTTGCCTAAATTTTTGTGGATACAACTTCTTCAAGAATAATATTTCCTTTTTCTTTTACTTTGCTTCTGCAAAGTGTTTATTTCTTGCAACACTTCATGGACAACCAAACAGCATCTTAAGTGGCAGATGTCATGTTGAAAATGTGCATTTAAATCTAGTTTTTTCTTTATCATCATGTTCATTATAGCTGACCTAATTGACTACATTGACTAAATCACCAAATTTTTACGAAAAATATTAGTCTTGGTGATAACACCTAAGAAACCTTATATTCTTCTTTTCTCTTTGTTGCTTTCTGATGAATAAGTGTTGAATATATTTGCCTGGAATAGTATGGAAATCTCTATTAAGTTGGTCTTCTGGACAGGAACAAAGCATGTGGTAATGCTTGTGTTTGGTTGTTGATTGGTTTGTGTGGATATTTTGATCAGAGCCTTGCTTTATTATGATTACTTCCGTAATTCTGATATTGAATGGTATTTAAAGTTAAGCTCTCTGATAACACATTACAAATGATGGTGAATATGTAGTGGGTGTGTTTGTGTCATTGCAGTTTTGCAGTTGCATTTTACGGGAGCTCATCTCATCCTCAATTGGTTGCCTTAGTTGCGCAAGTAAGTTACTTTTACACTTTTAACTAAATTATTACCTTGATGCATCTGGCCTTATTATTAATGTGAGTTCTATTTTTGGGAAATTATACTTTGCTGGTTGTCTTGTTTTGTGTTGTCAACTTGTTACTTCTCTCTGTTTTCCCTTATAATAAAATGCTGAGCTAATAGAAGCACCTTGGTGGACTTGAGCTTTCTGATGTATGACTCAAATCCTTCAGCTTTTCAGTTCTCAACAGTGGGAATATGATACAGAAATGTGATGGAAATTGAAAACTTCTATCACTAGTTGTAAGAGTTTTAAGCTTTGTAACTTGATATGCCATATAAAGGAAGGCGCTAGCTAGCTGTTCTGTTAAAGTCCTTTGGTTGTTGTATGGAGTTTGGATTGAATCTCAGCTTTACCAAGGTTGAGGGAAGAAATTCTTAAGGGAAGTGGAAGGACAGAAGGCTGCTCAAACATTTCTGTTTGAAACTGAACAAACTGTGGCGTTTTGATTGAGTAGACTAAGTGGTATATATAAATCAGAGTAGAACTTCAATGTTGTATCATTAATTGATTTAGGATTGTCATGATGTTAAAATATCCAAACCCATTAGGCAAACTTGAAGTCATCATTGTATCTTTGTGTCATTTTTAATTGCTTGCTGATGACCTGCATTTCCCACTGAATCTTGGCGCAGATACATCAAAGGACTCTATGGAAGCATAATGCACATTATTGATGCATTTGAAATTGTTTACCTGTTCTTGGCATGTATAAACAAAGTCTGGAGGAGTTTAGTAAGCTACGTGTGCTTATATGTTATGCAGTTTGTTTTACTTGCTCACCTGTGTAACGCAATTGAATTTGGTTTGTGAGAAGCTTGGGGGAAAGTACTTTGCCTTTCTCATTGATCATGTTGTAAAAATGACAATTCGAATTGCATATTATGCTATTTGAATCAAAACATGAGTCAAATTTGTTGCCTCATGTTTATGTTTATATAGACAATTGTGAAAAAGCTTATCAATCTTCTTGAAACTTCACAGGATGAGATTGCTAAAGCTGGTGTTCAGATTGAGCCACCAGGAATGCACATGATATACCTTCCGTACTCTGATGACATCAGAGATGTTGAAGAGGCAAGGAAATATTCATGAGTTTATGCGAAAAGATTTTCAAAGTCATATTATCACTGATAATATTGGTGATGTTTCACAGATTTTTCCAGATACAGATGATGATGCACCTCGAGCGGATGAAGATCAAATTCAGAAAGCTGCTGCTTTAATAAAACGTATTGACATGAGGGATTTCTCAGTTTCCCAATTTGCTAACCCTGGTAAGTTGTCATGTTATATCCTTAAACACTGTAATTCCATTGCTTAGAAATTCATAACTGGTGTTGTTTCAGTTATGAAAATTAATGAATCATTAAATAGCTCTTTATTGTATAATATCATATGTTTGTATTTGTGAGCTTTAGATTTGGCCAGAAATTTTAGAATGGTTTCATGTGTGTGAAAAGTAGTATTTCCTTTCAACATGATTGAACTTATGTCTGAAATTGAGACCATGAGCCTGTATAATGATCATAAACATACATCACTTACTCTGGAGTCATATCAGGGAACCAAAATTAGTTAGTATACAGAATATAAAAACATATGGAGACAAGGTTAAACCTGTGATTTTATATAGTGTCAGTTGTTTGCATATTCTTCTTTATCTGCAAGTTTATCTGTTTATTACAGCTTGCCAAATAGTGTCAGTTTCCATGTTTTCAAGCAATATGGGTACTTTTAAGGTTTGATTATAATGATCTATGTGGTGTAAACTTCTTTCTCTTTTAATTCTCTCTGTCTATTTGTACATCTATTGAACTGGAGTGTCAAGTTGATTAAATCTCATTCTTGCTTAAAACTTTTTTGACTCCATGATTATATCTTGATATATCCTTGCAGCCTTGCAGAGACATTATGCAGTACTGCAGGCTCTAGCTCTAGAAGAAGATGATATTCCAGAGATCATTGATGAGACACTACCTGATGAGGAAGGTTTGGCTAGGTAATGAAAAAGTGGCATGTCATCTTTAAATGCTTCCATCCTTTTCTGGTTTTTTGTAGAATCTTTTGACATATCAACTTGTCATTGTGAGGTGATTTGTTTTATACAGACCAGCAGTTGTCAAGGCAATAGAAGAATTCAAGCTTTCTGTCTATGGGGACAAATATGATGAGGAAAGTGACTTTTTGGGTAAAGGAAAAGTGGGTGAGGTCTCTAGGAAACGTAAAACAATTGTGGAAAATGCAGCTAAGGAGTCTGCAAATTATGATTGGGCTGACCTTGCAGAAAATGGGCAGGTGAAATTAAGTGTTTTGGCTGTGTTTCAGTATGCTTTTAATTTCTCCTAGTCATAAAACGGATTCTCTTGAACTAAATTTGACAGAAATTGTACAAGTTAGAATTTGTGGCTAGGCTAAATTTGTTCAATCAAATGCTATTTCAGAGTAAAAAACAGAACTTTTAGCTGTCACAATATTTCATTCCTCAAGTTTTTTAAAAAGCCATCTCATAATTTTCCTACCATCTTAGCATTCTGTTTACCTAGAGAAAGAGGGCTTAGAGGAAAAGAATTTATAAGCTTCTTGAAACATTTTTCTGCCGGAAATCTGGACTAGGAGAAATATTCTAAGTTGGGTTTCTGATTCTTTTCAATTTATTTTTCCTGATTTTGGAACTGACGCGGTATGAAACCTTGATATCTTTGTAGTCAGTAGTACTTACTTTAAAGAGAAAATTGAAACCTCAGATCTCAATCCCAGTGCAGCATGATTGCTGTTAATTGGGGTATTGACATGGCTACACTGTCTATTCTTAGGAAGTCTATCTTACTTGTCGATTCCACATTTTGCAGTTGAAGGATTTAACGGTAGCAGCTTTGAAAACTTACTTGAGTGCACACAACCTTCCTGTCGCCGGAAAGAAGGAAGCTTTGATCAGTAGGATCTTAACCCACATGGGCAAATGAGCAAAGTTGAAGCTGATAAAAAAATCGAAGACTGGTAATGGATACTGCCATAATGTCCCAGTGATTGTGGCATATTGTTGGCCTCCCATTGTTATGCTATCAAGGCTAAATATCCCTTTTTGCCTAAAGCTTTATTGCACGGTAGGGTCAGCGATATATGTTCTTGATTGTCCCTGCAAAACCAAGACTAGCTTTTGCACATTCTAGGTTTTTTTGGCGCATCAGAATTTGGTTTCTGGTGTTGCCTTGTTATTCTGACAGAGTATGGACAATGCACATCAACTAGTCTAAGTATCCATAATCCATTTGTGTATATATTGGAAAAATTTTGCATCTGGAAATGAAAATGGCATTCATCTGCTGGTTTCTTTCTAGTTTCTTCTAGGAAGATGGTACCGTGATGTTGAGCCTGTGCTGAAAGTGCAATCAGGTATGGGGTTTACTGGTGAAACCATATCTTTTATGTGTGTCTGTGTGCATGCAGGCATGTGAAATATTTATGTATGCTTTCAAACCCGTGCAATGCATGGGAATTCAATTATATTATCAATAATTTCATTTAGAAAATTAAATTATTAAATTTATAAAGTAACCATAATTTAAACCTCAATCTTTTATTTGGTATATCTCAATCAAGTGAAGAAAAGAATCAAAAATTAGATATTGCAGATAAACTTTATCTTATTAAATGATTTATAAAAAAACTAAGTACATGTCATGTATCTCAAATTAGATTCTTTTAAAAATTAAATTTGGTTCCATTGGTTATGTCATGCTCTGCTGGGTTTTCATTTAGAACATCATTCCACTTTTAATGGGGTTTTTTAGAACAAGTTTTCACTTATTTTTCACATTCCTTTAGCTGAATTCTTCCACAAAAAAATAATTAAAAAATCTCCCTTGTTACATTATATTTTTCAAATCTCCACAAATAAAGGATAATATTTGAATGATCAAACAAAATTAAATATAGTATAGTTAAACCATATTTAATCCCTTAAATCATGCTATGGAAATCAAATTCATTAATTAAAAGACACATGACACTTATTTAAACTACTTATATTAGAAAGATAGGCTATGACAAAAAAAATAATTCCTTTGTAGTCAAAGCTTTTGTCTCTTATACATTACTTTAGACACTGAAAATAACAGCAATTCATAGTTTACCAAATATAATTGTATAACATACTTTGTTGAAACAAAATTCTATTCCTGTTTCAGTTTAGAACCTTTTCACAAGTTGATTTGAAGAGATTAGAGACTTTATCAAAGTCAGTATAGTAATTGATTTTCTCCTATTATTAATTACTGTTAAAATTTAAAACAGTTGATGATTGTAAAAGCCAATGGTGCCCAATTGGGGCATCTCCATCAGCATACTGTTTGTATTCCAAAGTTTGGAGTGACCCATGGTGGTACAAATTTCCTCCCAAGGTAGGCATATCCTCATGAATTGCAAAGATGAATCCGATGACCAATGACTAATCTCTATCTCATTCTTTGTTTTGCTTCTTTTCAACGTTATAGCAAGTGGGATAACGTTGGTCATTGGAATAATATATATAATAATAATGATATATATTCATAGATGGATAGCACCTAGTTTTGGCAATTAGTTTTTCAATTTTGGCTACAAATTGCAGTTGACCCGACCCACAATGGAAGGTTGTTCTTTCATAGTACATCAACTCAATTTGGACTGAGATTTCAAAAGACTGAAAACAGTCCAATCACTATTAATGAACGTCCAATGGATTATTATTTTATGTATTTTTTACATAGAATTTTTAAACTTCACAAATCGGATTAAAAGATTGTTATAAATTAATTTTGTAAATAAACATATATATGACCATATTCATAATATAATCTCTCATCTTCCTATATGCATCGTGATGAATTTGTGTTCATCTTTCTCTTTCTCTCTCTGCTAAATTTTAAATACTAATTTTTGCATCCTCTCTTTCCTTTGTTAAGGCAATAAGGATTCTCTATTTGTCAATGTCCAAGACTCAAATAGACTGAAAGATTACATACTATAATAAGAGTTTATATTTAACATATTGATAATACATAATTTTACTTAAAAATAATTTTAAAATTTTTAAAATAAATATTATTAATTTTCTTTAACAAAAAATAATTATTTATTATTTATTTTTTTTCCAATTTCTTTTTTTTTTTTTGTACTTTGGAATAGGTAACAACTAGAATAATCAATTATCAAGATGAAAGAATTCTACAAAATTATTAATACAAGAAGCCTGCTTGTATATCGATTGTAAAACAAATAATATCTTATTATTATTTTTAAAAAATTATATTCAATCTAACAAACGTAATTGACAATATCATAAGGTACCAAGAATATTGTCTCTTTGTCATCCATTTTCTTCCTGGAAACTAGAAGAATAGAACCATTTTCAAAATTGTACAGCAAAGAAGAAGAAAATGAAGAACCGATGAATTGACGAAAAGATTAGTCACCAAAAATACCAAGAAAAATGAAGAATCAATGGATTGACGACATGACAGCATTTGATGATCTGATATAATTTATCAAATATAATATATTATGCTCACAAATATTTACCTTGTCGAGCATGTATCTGAAAAAAATAAGTGAAGACAAATATCTTCTTGTTCAAAAACCGAATTGGAATTCTTTTGTTTGGAAAAATCAAAGGAGAGAGAAAAGAAAAGTGAATCTGCATCACCCCTTCCAGCAATCTCACCTACAGTCTGTACAGTGTCGGCAATTTGTACTTTACTGAGTCATGTCACAATCATATTTACATTGAAGTAAAGGAGGAGAGGAAATGACCCGATTCTCCTCGTCTTTCTTTAATGGGGGATGCCGGGCAGATCAAGCCATGGTATAGTATTACTTTTATAAAATTTAAGCCCCCAGCATCATCATTACCAACCACAACCCCGGTCCAATAATTAATAAATAAAGGAATATTGGGAAACTTGTATGTTACTTCTTTGAAGTGATTAGAGTCGTTAAATACTTCTTTAATCAGCCAAAAGTCTCTTAATGATGTAATATAATTTCTCTGTGTTCCTTCCCATGGTTGGCTGGCCAAGTCTTCTAGATATATCTACTTGTTAATTTTACTCTAGTCAATTGAATATGAAAATGGAGAGAAACAGAGGTCACTACGCTGCATCCATTTGCCAAATACTTTACATTGATAACAATGGAGGATTCTCTCATGTCCCTCTAGAAATTGCTATCTCCCAAACGAAATAGCTCTCTATCTCTCCGTCTCACTATGCATCTCTGTATTTCTGCATCTTCATCAGCCCTGGTTTTTATCATCTTTATCCTTTTATCTGTCCAAGTTCCAACATTTTTATGTGCAGGCAATGATACATATGAGGTATGCAGCAAGCCACTCCGGTGTGGAACCTTCCAAAATGTTACATATCCTTTCTGGGGAGTTGATCGGCCAGACTACTGTGGGCATCCTGGGCTGGAGTTAACTTGCCAGGGAGATGAACTTCTGATGACAATCATGTCATTAAGTTACAAAGTTATTGAGATCAACACGGATATACAGGCTTTCACTGTGGCTAGAAGTGATTATCTGACAACGCTTTGTCCCCAGCACCTTGCCAACACCACCTTGGACTTCAACCTGTTGAGTTATGCTTGGAATCTTGAGAACGTAACATTATACTATGATTGTCCTAGGATTGCCAACCAGTCTTCAGGGTTTCCAAGTCAATTTAACTGCACCAGCAATGGAACTGATATGCAAAATTACTATGTCATAGCATCAGCTTTTGGCAACCTTTCAGCTGTAGCAAAGGGTGGCTTGGGGTCTTGTCGGAGCAATGTCATTGTTCCAGCCTTTTATACAGCAGTTCAGACTATAGTGAGCAATCCAACTTCAGATACTCTCGTTCTACCACTTCGTAATGGCTTTGGGCTGAAATGGGATGCAAATATTGCTTCCAAGTGTACGGCATGCAGTGCTTCCGGTGGGATGTGTGGTTATAACAAGACTCTGAGTGAATTCACTTGTTACTGCTCAGATCATACAGATCCATCAGCTTGTCGTCCATCAGGTATGCGCAAAAACAGACAGATTATTTTGATTAATTAGAGTTTGTCGATCAAATGAAGTTTCTTGGACAAAATTCTATAGAAGTAAAGGTTCCTAACCATGATCATAGGGATTTCATAATGATTCTTGCAGAAAATTCAGTAAGGTCAATCTCATACCAATCAGCTTAAGAAATTGCTAGGTGTAGATTTCGTTGTTTTTATTTCTTTCATCAGCTCCATTTTAAGTCTAGAATTCCAGCCATACATATTTATCACTTTCACCAAAGTTCAAGCATTTGCAAATTCAAGAGTCAGGGCAAGAATTCACCAAACTCTCTGGTTTTTTTCTGGGTTTTGCTTCCCTCACCCCTTGTTTTCTTTTTCCATTAAAAAAAGGAAAAAGAACCTGTAGAACAATTTCTCCCAACTTTTTCCAACCGTGTGAGTCATAGTCTAGGTCATCCCACGCTTTTCCCCTATATCGGAATCGCGAGTTTCACATGGATTTCTTGGGCCTGGCATGAATTTATGTATCACTAATGGCTTCTTTTAATATATTTGAAGGTAAGTATTCAACAACCTGCCAGCCTTGTTTGTCACTCCGAATCAGCTTTAAGTTGACAGCTGATGCACATGTTATTATTCTAATGTGATAGTGCTTTTTGATATGAAAAAGCTGGAACAAGGAAATTATTTTGAGTTATCTATATAGTCAAACAACTTTATCTTTTTTACCAACTTTCAGAAAACCAACTTGATATTTTCAGACTATGAAACTTGACACTTTGCGATTGGCTAAATATAATGTTAAAAACCATCTGCAGATTAAAACAATGTCATTTCAATGACGTTGTCAAGTTTCCATATGGTGAGGATGACACATCTAATCATCTGAATTAATATATTCTTTATTGCAATATTCAAATCTGACAGTGACTTGGTTACTTTCATATGGCCATTTCCTACATCAGAAAGTGAGATCATTAATTATTACACAATCGTTTTTTTTATTCCTTTTCTTTTGGTGCGTGTTGCAGGGTCATCTAACGGTACCAGTTTGAGGATTAAACTAATCATTGGTACTACACTAAACTCATTTGATAAATTTTAATATGCATTTACTCACATTTTTAAGCTGACTGGCCATTCTCTACAAACAGGCTTGGGTGTGGCAGGGGCTGCTATTGTGGTAGTTTTTGTTATGGTGTTTACCTTGAGGCATAGGAGATCATCATTTTTAATCTCAAGTGGAATACTGATGAATTTCCAGCAAAGTAAAAAGAACAGTGAAAGGATTGAGGCATTCATAATGAAGTATGGTTCTGATCTTGCTCCCAAACGATATTCTTTTTCAGACATCAGGAAAATAACCAAGTCCTTCAAAGATAGGCTTGGAGAAGGGGGATTTGGCACAGTCTTCAAAGGTAAATTACCCGATGGTCGTCTTGTTGCAGTGAAAGTCCTTAGTGAATCAAAGGGGGATGGAGAGGAATTTATCAATGAAGTGGCTAGTATTAGTAGAACCTCTCATGTCAATGTAGTGACTTTTCTTGGTTTCTGTTATGAGGGCTCAGTGAGAGCTCTAATCTATGAATTCATGCCCAATGGATCATTGGATAAGTTCATCTGTTGTGAAGGATCTCCCGACAAAAGTCATCTACTAAAGCATAAAACGTTGTTTGAAATTGCAATTGGCATTGCTAGAGGACTGGAATATTTACATGGAGGTTGTAACACAAGGATTTTGCACTTGGACATAAAACCTCATAATATCCTCCTAGATGAGAGTTTCTGTCCCAAGATTTCAGATTTTGGTCTTGCTAAATTATGTGAGAGGAAGGAGAGCATTCTTTCTATGATAAGTGCTAGAGGAACAATCGGATATATTGCTCCGGAACTGTTTTGTCGAAACTTTGGAGGAGTCTCTTACAAGTCCGATGTTTATAGCTATGGGATGATGGTCCTGGAAATGGTTGGAGCAAAGGAAAATGTTCATAACGGACCGTCTGTAACCAGTGAAATGAATTTTCCTTTATGGGTTTATGAGCATCTCCAACAAGAAGCATATTTCAATCTTCAAGGAATCACAGTTGAAGAGGAAGAAATAACCAAGAAGATGATCGTAGTGAGCTTGTGGTGCATTCAAACTAATCCATCGGATCGACCGTCAATGACAAAGGTGCTAGAGATGTTACAGGGAAGCCTTCAATCTCTAGCAATTCCACCCAGACCTTTCCTGTTTTCTCCTCCAAGATCGCCCCAAAACTCCTCACAAATAGCATTAATTGCATCATCCATTAGCATGCCTAGTGAATTATAAGGGATCATATATTTCACCAGTGTCTGATAGTGTATTAAATTACAGATATTTTATGTGTGTCTGATTGATAATTTTCAACCTGTCACAACTAGTAGTGAACTTCTTCTACCATATTCTATAGAAAGTGCATGGGTAGTTAATGTATCATACTGTTGTTAGAGAGCTTCATTTGCAGTTACAATTTATGTTGTCTTTATTACTTCACTGTAAGTGCTACTGCATACTGACAGAAGATAGTTAAGACAGTGCCTCAATGGTAGGCATCCTTTACTGTCAAATGGACTCTCTAAATTCAATTTTCAAATCTGTCCCCGTCAACAAGAAAAACAAAGAAATAAATGCTGATAGTACTAAATGACGTTTCATATGTCAAAAGTTCCTTGAAACTGTGATTTTAAATAAACAAATGGTGTACATGAGGCCAAACCTTGACTAGAGTCTATGCAGAAAATTGTAGAGACATTTCCCCTAGGGGGCATATATATCCTCCGTGTCAGTAGAACACCAGAAATACTAATTTTTGACAGGGTTTAACATTTTGATATCAGAGCCTCAACCTACTAGTAAGGCCAAGACAGCTAGCCAGCCAGTTGCTGGGAAAAAAAATTAAAGAGCAAGGTATGGGCAAGCTACTGGAAGACATTCCACAAATGAGGGAGGTTCTACCTCAACCTGCTTGGTTCTGTAAAGAGGGGCTCTAGCTACAAGTTAACAACATAAATGCAACCAAGACTGTTGATGTGGAGGATTTCCCTTGGTTTGGGTATACAAAGTGCAACTTTCTTTGCATTCAATATACACCAGTTAAAAGGAAAGTACATACTATTAAGCTTATTCTTCATAATGAGTAGGAGCAGGGGCGGAGTTGGGAGCCAAAATTAAAATTCTTTTTTTTACTCTTTATATAAATTTTTTAAATTTTTTTAATGACTCCCCTAAAATAATTTTTTATTTAATAATTAATACAAGTAAAAAATAACAAAATACTTTCATATGCTTGACTCAATTTTCAAGTTTTATTTTATTTTGTTTTTTAATTTATATTATTATTTTTATTTATTTATTTATTTTTATTCTATTTACTCATGTGTTTTAAATCTTTGTAAATTTTCTTTCACAAATCTCTATGAACCATCAATCATATTTTTTTTTATTATGTCATATATAAATTCTATGCTCTATTTGTTATATTCTTTTTTTTATTATGTAGATTTTATTTTATATGATTTTACTGTTTAAAAATAAATAACTTATTATGTAATTTTCAAATATAAATTACATTGTTGCTTTATTCTTTGAAATTTCATCAATATGTTAGTTTTTTATTCAAAATAACCAATGTGCTTTAGCATGTATGTTGCAAAATTTAAGTAACAATGATTTACATATAAATTTATAAAATGAAATAATTATATTTTTTTAATATAATTTTATTTATTATATATTTTTGATAACCTTCAAAATAATTTTTTTATTTAGTAATTATTTTTATTGCTCAAACTATTTGATAAAATTAGACTCATTATGTTTAGCATATTGCTAAGTAAGCCCAACAAATAAATTCTAAATTAATATGTTAAACCTATCAAATATAAAAAAAAAATGAGTCTAGTAATTCAAGATCATTAAGTTTTAATATAAATCTAACTCTATCATAACATATTATATCTTAACAGTCCAACCTAATAATCTATCATAAGATATTATATCTCAATAGTTCAACTCAATAACCTAATATGTTAATTAGCAAGTTAAGAGGCAAATAGAAAATAAGAGAAGAATTAAAACACATAAAGTAAAAAGACAATTCATTTGAGTTCGAAAAATTATTTTCTTTTTCACTCTTGCTTGTAAAAAGTAAAAAAGACTATTTTCATGATTTCATTCAGTTATATATATTTATATATGTCACCATTATTATTGTTAAGTCTACAGAACATGAGTCGGTGCACCAAGGAATTCCCTGCAGATTATGAGGTTGTTGCTTGAAAAGGAGATTATCACTCTGGAGAGAACTTTATATAGAAATCCGTCCAATGGATCTGTGGCAGATATAGTCTCGCAGACTTCTCTTGCTCACTGTTCTGAATTTGGCAAAAATAAACAAGGATCATTGCTTCAATGTAGGAGTCTAACAAATAAAATACATAATTAATTGGTAATTAATACTAAAGAAAGAGTGATAAAATTGCTAAGTTAATAAATTATTAATTTTTAAGAGTACTTTAATCAATTACTTTTAGCATTTTTGAAATTGACACTTTTATATAAAAATAAAGAGAAAAAAAAAGAAAAATATAAAGAATATTCGGATTAAAAAAAAAAGATAATAAGACAAAGTAGTTTTCTCTCATTGCATAAAAATCTCAGACTTCTCTCACGTCTCAGAGTTAGAAGTCTCACTTTTAACTAATAATCATAAAAATATTTTCCAAACTTGCCTAAGAATATGAGAGAGCTTTATACTCATGTATTCTACCACAAAATGGTTGTGACCAAGGTTAATATATAGATATTTGAGTGATAGCTTGCCATGGCAAGGCATACCTACCCTCTATTTTGCTAACTCAAAACTTAAGCCTAATCTACCAAGAATATTAAAAAAAAATCCCAAACCATATAATTTATTGATTTAAAATTCGAGTAAATATTTCTGATTCAACACCCAAGAATGATTAACATCTAGACCGACAAAAACATGATCTAACATATATTTGTAATTGGAGCCAACCATGTCTGAAATTTTTCTAGTCAATGTTTTTAGACGATGACAAGCACAATTATTTAATTGATGCATGCCAAAGCATGTATAATTTGTCGGTTTTTTTTATGGTAAAATACTCAAACATCCTTAATTTTTAATTATAATTACATTCAAGTTCATTAGTTTTTAAAATTAATACTTCAGTAAACACTGTTAATAGAAATTGTAAAAAAACTAAAATGTCATTTTTTTTCTTTATTAATTTAAAAAATTATTATTATATTTTTCAAAAAAATTAAAAAGAAGCCCGATCGATGCTCTCCAAATTGAGGAAGCTTTTTTAAAATTAATAAAAAATAATAAAAATAATAAATTTATATAATAATTATATAAATTAATTAAAAATAAAATTATTTTTTTACTTTTACTATGTCAACAAGTTGACGAAAATGTTCACGGTTAATTAATGGTTGGACTTACATGTCTAACAAAAATTGTTTTTTTAGTATATCTATTTTAAAAATTAATAAATTTTTATATAATTTTAATTAAAATATAAAAAAATAAAAATATTTTATTTTAGATTTTTTTTATATAGGTGTGTGGGTCTTTTACTCCATATATGAACTGAAATGCTTCCAAATCAATTAAATATTTTAAGCAAATCTATAACATATATAGAAGGAAGACCCAAAGCTGCTTCTAGATTTGACCACGACATCATAAAGGGGTGGAGATATGGTGAATGCGAGTTCATGGTAGGTGAAAATGGACTTACAATTGAAATGGTCCAAAAGGACAAGAATCATGTTGAGCCCTCTGAACAAATGAGATTCGAAGCGATTGAACTCAAGGGTCCCAGATATTTCTAATCATGCCACTCCCTCTTTTATTTTTGTTATAATTTTGAAGAAAGACTCTCTCTCTGTCTTTTCATTCCTTTCGTTTCTACACAATTAGATATAGTTAATTATAAAATTAGAATAATTATATTTTATATTAAATATAAAAAAAAGGGAAAAACTTGCTTATGCTTAAGTTCAAACCCAGATGAAAAGATGAGGCATAGCGGTATATACCAGATCACAGACATTATCCAAATAGATCTGGACTATTACTTCTGCAAATGTTGCTTGATCCAATGTGCAGTAATATTTCTTTTGCGGGTCTTAATTCGCGTGTCGTTGCACAACATATAAATGAAACATATGCACAAAGACTGTTACTTCATTGGTGTTTTGCTTTAAGTTGAAACACTACTATTGTTTTATGGATACAAAGAAAAAAAGAAGAAGAGGTGAATCGGATTCACCCAAATCTAAATCGGTTTTTATCATGAATTATGTTATGAAATTACTTTAAAAAAGAGATAAGAATAAAAAATTAAAACTATTTTTTTGATGAGTGACAAAAACAAAATAATTAATTGAATAAAGTTAATAATGACTTACTAAAATTATTGGGAGATCCCAAAATTATTTTCACAAGGTGGATTAATACTAAATAATTTTCATGACATAAGATAAAAAAGCAGTAATTAAAATTGAAGATAATTTACAAAATTTCATCATTAAAATTAAGAAAATTTTAATATGGTAATTAATATTCATTTTATTTTGACTTTCAAAAAAATATTCGTTTTATTTTAATAATTTTATTATATGAATTATGTAGCTTTTTTTTTATTTGGCTACCCATATAAATTATGTTGCTTATGAATAATCACTTTCAGTATATTAAATGTTCTTAATTTAAATTTAATTTAACCATTAGAATCCTGGTAATTTACAAAATATGGTTATATTAATATTAACATATATTAAGGTATAAAAAATAAAATTTTTTTAAAAATTAAAAATTATTTATATAAAAAAATTTACTTAACAAGACATGAAAAAATATTTTTAAAATATCGATATTTTAAAATAATTATCTTTAATTTATTATTATTATTATTTATAATTTTTCCAAATTTAAAATTACTCTCTTTTGCTATTATTATTTTTATTTATGATATTATGTAGTTATAAATTATTTTTTGTTAAAAATACACCGACGTAAAGCGGGGGACCACTCTAGTTAACAGTAAAAATCAACCATGTGAACATGCATGGTGGTGACAGGTGTCTCGAGGTGTGGAATCCATGGGAGAAAAAAAACAGAGAGGATAAAATACTGCTATCCTGAATTGACAACACCAAGGAATTGTAGCCATTCACTCTCTGGTGTAAGTTGCTATAAAATCTACCCTTTGGAACCATTTGGAAACCACATTTGCAGAGCTGTTTGAGCTTATTGTTGAAACGAGATCAGATTTCTCCTTCACTTTTTGCTCATGGCTCTAGTTGGTAACTTTCTTCCAAAGCCTACCATGCTCCCCATGCACATTTCCCAGCTCCAAAAACCAAAAACTATAATAGTGTAAGTTAATTATCCTCAGCTTCTGCCTTATATATATATATATATATATATTTAATCTATGATGCTATTAAATACTTATTATAAAGTTTCTGTGTTTTGAAAGTGATAACGAGTTTGGGTTCGAGTTTTATTGTACAAGTATATATATCTAACTGTATTATTTATTCCCTCCTGGATGATCAGATGTGCGGCACCAGAGAGGCCAAAGCCCGGGAGCGGGAGCGGTGGAAAAATCAACCGCACCCACAGACGCTCGACGAGGACCGTAGTAGGGGTGAAGGAGGTTACTCCTAACACTACCCTGGATGTTGGAAAAGCAAATCAGAAGAATAAATCAAATAATGCTGATGATGATGCTGCAACTGTTAATGGAGCTGAAGCAACTGATTAGCTATAATAGATTTTAGTTAAGGAGAGAGAGAGCTTTCAAGATTGTTAAACAATCTTTAATTTGTAGTATAAATAAGTCACTCTTCTCACTTTCCTTCTCTTCCTCTTCTTGTAAAAACATCATTTCTCATGTCTAAGTTCCTTAAGCATATATGCAGTTGATTAGTTTCTGTTGGAAAATATAATTTCTGTTTAATTATATATGCATTAGAAAAGTGATGCAGCCTTGGCAATTGGTTATCCACTTGCCAGACAAATTACATATAGGAAAAAAAAAGAAGAAGGTAAGGTATATGAAATTAAAATCAGAGATAATTTAAGAAAAAATCACAAAAGTATGTATAAATCCTTCAAGATAAAGATTAAAAATTTAATATTTCAACAGTGACATAAGTTACAATATTTAGGCATTTAATCCTATGATAATAAAAATTTATCAACAATTCAATAGTAAAGTTTGAATATATTTCTTTGTGTGTGCATGCATACGCATACTTGTGTATGTGTATGTGAATTCTTATTTTATATAATATCGGCAGAACTTTCAAACTCTATCATCAAAACTAAAATATTGTCATATATTCTTGTTTTATTTATATTAATTTAGTAATATTTTTTAATATACCTTAATAAGATAATTTTTTTTGCTCAGTACCAATAAGATACTGAATAATTAACACTATAACTCCAATAGCGACCGTGTATGAGATTAATTTTTTATATAAATTATATTAACTTGGTTCTTCTTAAGGCAACTGATTTTCCAAGGACCAGGCATGTCCACCAACCCCATGCAAGTAGAAGCCTCACCATTTGTTTCTCGCCTTTTCCAGCTTGCTAAAATTAATTATTTGTCGGAGGACAGTCTGAAATAGTGAGAATTGGTCCTTTTCTTTTGTTTTTAGTTATACTTGAAAGATTTTGATTCATTTCAAAACGATTGTGGTCAGAAATTGAAAATAAGGGAACCCTAGGTGGTTGTTTGGAACCAAGACTTGTGACCTTCACTTAGTGCTTGTTTGGTTTGATTTTTTTTCAGTTTATATATTTCTTCAAAACAAAAGCCAAGTTAAACAAAAATTTAAAAAACCTTTTAGAAAAGTAAGCAGCCTTTTTTTAAAAAACAAAATTTTTTATAAAAAAAAGCTTTAGAAAAAGCTCCAAAGGAATAGCTTTCTCTCCTTTTTTTTTAAAAACACGTTTTTTTTATGAAAGTTTTTATTTTTGTTTCCAAAATATCCTCATCCATTAAAAATAAATCCAACATTATCTGTTTTCATTTTTATATGATTTATTATTAATTATAAATTTTATGTTATATAAAAATGCTTTTTATAAATAAAAAACTAATATTAACTTTTTTTCATTATGAACAAAAGAATTTGTGATTAATAGAAAATTATTTATTAAATGCCCTTTATGGTAATTTTAATCAAAATTAGAATTTACTTAAATTATTTTGTCAAACTACTTATTTATAAGAAAAGAACTTATAAAAGCAAACTTACCAAACCGATTTAGTTTAATTTTAAAAATTATTATTTTTTATAAGAGTTTCATAGTAGCTTTTAAGCTGAAAAAAAAATTAGACCAAATAAGTACTTAGTCTAATTGATTTAAGAGTTTATTTAGTTTATGACTCAGTCATGAATACATCCAAACAGCACTATAAAACGAACAGGGATCACTTCCACTAGAGGTTAACACATTAAGGTTGATTGTGAACACCACCAAGATGTGGACGTATGAAGTACCTATCAATTTTGTTTGGCAGGAAGGGATCATACTTGGCCTCTTCAACTTTCTCTTATAGCTAAAGCCACAAAAAAAAAAAATCATAATTAAATTCATCTATAAAATAATGAGAAGAAGGAAAACAAATTTGAATATGAATGTTGGTTTAATTATCATTTTATGGATGCAGCATGCATGCATGCTTTTAAGGAGGAGAATATATTAAATTTTGTTTGGTTAATTTTTTTTAAAAGGATGTACGGCACTTTTAATCATCTAATTAATCCTCTAAATACAAATATCTATATTTTAATTTTTTTCATAATTAACATTACCTTTAATCAAATGTTAATTATTGTTTTTACAATAATTTTTAACTTTCTTTTATGATACGTACAAATAATCTCTTTTAACTTTAGTATATAGTATAATCTTCCCACAAACTTTTCACACGTTCTATCAGAATCATCCGTCAAATAATTCCATATACAACTAATCAATCAAAAGTTAGATGCATGTCATTAAGTGTGAAAAGGATTAGTGTATATATATATATATGAAACTTATATATGCATATTCCATGCATCGAACTACCTGCCAAGAGTGCATATCACATGCACATGGGCCAGCCAAGACGAGGGCACCTTTCCTAGTCAATGCACTGCTAGATGATGAACCAAGATTAAACCAATTAGATAGATTTTTACTTAGTATTTACATTTTATATTATTTGGCTTTTGTAGGTTATATAATCCAAATAAATTATACTGGCGATTTAAGTCCACGAAAAATTCAGATATTAATTAAATAATGACAAATTGGCAATATGAATGGTTGTAGCTCAAAAGAGTCAAAGTCTTTTAGAAAAGGAAATCTATAGCACTAGCTCACCAAAATTCACTCTTGCTCATGTTCTTGACTCTTGCCCAAGTCGTTGGGTATCAATCTTCCTATTCTTCAGTTGAGAGAACCACAAAGCTTTTGATAATTTTCCCTTCAAGTTAGAGCTACTGAGCTTATTGAAGCGGAAGTAATTAAACTTCGATATTGTGCTCATGGCTCTAATGGGTAGCTCCCTGAGGAGAATGTTGGTCCCTGTGCACATTTCCAAGCTGCAACAAGTAAAAACTCTGATAGTGTAATGATACTGTAAACTTCTAGACAGTTGATTTTCTTTTTTTTCTCTAGTTCCTGGTCTAAAACAATCCTTCGACAATGTTAATTTCTTCTTCTTGTCCTCCTTAATTAGGGATACTAGACCAGAGGCGGCGGACAAATCAACTCCAAGCCTAAAGCTTCAGCAACGAATACCACTGACGAGGAGGTTGCTCTTAGGACTGATACCTTGGATGTTGGCAACAACGCTAACAAGATTAGTATAACAAATGTTGATGCTGCTGTTACTGTTAAAACAGCTGAAAACAACTGATATCTTGTACTGTTTCATATGGGAACATGGCTTTGGCTCTATCTTAGGACTCAAATCTTATCTTAATTTTATAATTGGCCCTGTTAGAGGTTTGGTTTCTATTTTACCACGTTGTGCAGTTAATTACTTCAAGGTTTTCTTGTCACTGTCTATAACAGCTGTTCCATGGACCGAGGTGAACTATTAAAAAAATCTTAAATTCGAGTCATAATGCTTTGCTTTACTCTGCAAATGGAGGTCCAACTCTAACACATGTTGGTAAAGAAATCAAATCCATGATTTCATCAACTGGTTATATATGCACACATGAGAAAGTTCTGTGATTGTTGTGGTGCAAATAGATAAGTTTGCATGCCTACCATGCAAAATTATTACTTGTAGGCATTGAGCTAGATGCATTCTTAAAATGAACCCATCATTTAAAAATCCAACATTTCAACATTTGAAATCTTTGTACATATGTATATATATATATATATATATATATATATATATATATGCATACATCCCAAACACTGCATAGATATACTTCATAATCCCAACGCTTTCTTCTAATCAAACTATGAATTGATTTTTCCTTTTTTATAAAAAAGGAATTGACTTTATTTCATTTAGCTTTGAGCATTGAGTAGGTCAACCACTATCCTCTGTTTCATTTGAAGTTTTCATTTTCGTTATACCAAATGAGTTAATTTACAGCAACCTTTCATTATAGTTTTACAATATCTAAAATCAACCATTTCTAATATGATGTCCGCATCAAAACTAGATGAAATACTCATATATTACACATTTGTAAATGATCAATATTTTAAATTTATAGACAATTAACTTTATGTGATATGATCCTAATTGATTGGTTAGGCTTGCATCATAAAAGAACAATTTCATGTCTTTAATAGTTTATAGTTTTCAACATAAAGTCACATATACAAAAATAATGTTAAAGAAAAGAGCAAAATCAATATATACTAAGTCCATAAAAAGGGCTAATTTTTCAAATTGGGCCGCCAAGATAATGGCCCAGTTCATGGCTTAGGCAGTTGGAATGCAGCTGTGCTTCATTTCCTCACTTAAACCCCTAAAACCCCAGTTTCCCCATTTGGCCATTTCCTCCACTGATCTCCTCTCTCTTTCTCTCAAAGCTCTTTAATGGCATCCTCTGCAGAAACCCCATATCTTCTTTGAACCTAAAACCCTTCTAAAACCCCTCAATTTCTAAATGTCTGTCTTCAAAACTCTCTTCCTCTCTAACCATACAAAAGTTCTCCTCAAAACCCAAAACCCTCTTTACAAAAGCCTCCCTCCTTCACCACCCTTCATAATCAGAACCCTTAATTCCTCTCCCCATAAACCAACCAAGAAGCCACTTTCTCTATTGTTTCAAGATGCAGTTGGTTTAACTGAAAATACTGGTGGAAATGAAAGCCAGAGTGAAAGTGAAGGCGAGAATATTGAGCTATTAAGGGAATTGAGGAAATTGGAGAGAGAAGTTAGGAAGTTGAAAGAAAACCCAAAAGGGAAAAATAAAGAAAAAGAGGGAGTAGAGAGGGGAAAACCCAATAAAGTTAAGAGTTTGGTGGAGTTGTTTAGGGGTGAAAAGGAAGAAGAGGTGGAAAGGATTGTGAAAGTGAGGAGAGAAAGGGAAGAGGTAGTTTTCAAGGATTTTTCGCAGTTAGCTGAGATTTTCGTTAGGCATTTGTATGCCAAAGGGTATTTTAACAAAGCTAATTTTTTGGAAGACAACAAGTTAGATTTTGGTTATTTTGATAATAGTTATGGCAGGGATTTTATCAAGTATGCTGCTTTCAAGTTTGGTAAAGATCATCAAGAGATTGCAAAGTGAGAATATTTTTGTCCCTTTTGTCCTTTTTACTTTTCTTGTTATTTGAGTTTGGCATCGTTTGTTAATGTTTTATATTTATGTTAGCTAATTGATGTTTTTCTGTTGATAAGATGGTGGGAAAATGGCTTTGAGGATTATAGTTTTTTTCAGTTTTGGATATTGAAAAGACATACACAGTAACCAGGCTGCTTGATTGCATTAGGTTTTTACTTTATAGTTATCGGAATAATGAACAATGCGGGAATTAACAAGGAATTGTGGTTTCTTTTGTCAATGGCAACTAGGTCGATCGATTACAATAGGTTTCTACTTTATAGCTTTCAGAATGGTGAGAAATCCAGGAACCAACTCTTGTTATCATCTTTTTGTTATTTTCTCCACAGCTAAATGGAGCATTAGTTTTCTCTATTTCTAGAGATTTTATAGTGTTCTTAAGGATTGTTATATCTTTTCAGGGTCATTTTAATGAGTTATTCAGTAATGCCTTCTCAAATTTAAAAATGAGTAATTAAGTTGGTTTTGTGTACTGAAATCTGCTGATGAATATCTCAAGCTAATTATGTGAGGGTTTTAATTTCTGGTGAGTTGTTTGGTAGGTATAGCATATTTGGTAATGAACATTCTTGTGTTAATTGGTCTTTATTTTTTAATGAGAATTTGAAACTGAATAAATAGTTTAATTTGTCTAAATAAAGTGTTTTCCGCAATCCATGAAAAATGGCTGAAGTTCTGCTAAAATGTTAAAAGAACAGAAGGCAGTTGCTTACTAAGGATCCTGTTATAGATTTATTTTATGATCTTTTTTCTTGACAAAATCATTTTTGATTCCACCTGTGTATTTGCCCAAGATTTTACCAATGTTGGAGATTGGTCTGAAGTTCCAACTTCATTGATGTATTGAGACAATAGTAAGTCTTTGATTTGCCAAAGTATTTTAGTTAATAAGTTAAATTTTATTGATCCATAAAGTTGATTTTTAGCCCAGGTTCCTCTTCTAATAAACCAGATAAATGCATTTATTGGTCTATGACCAGCCAACAAACATAATTTCATCAATTATTAAGTTCCAGAAACAAGAAATACAGGGATATGCAAGTGCATAGATACATGCAAAATTATGGGCTTTTATATACACTAGTGTATAGTTAAGTATATCTAATTATTTGGCATCAAAATTTAATGAAATTTAATTAAAACTTACCAACTCTCTCTCTCTCTCTTCTCTCAAAAGAAAAAATCAACCAAAGTAATTACCCTTCTCACACCCTTCTCTGTCATTACATAGGTTTCACTTAAATGAATCATAATGTGCTGTCAGCATGACAATCAAATGGAACATCTGATTCTTTTTCTTAGTAGAACATTGGATGTATTTGAGAATCTCTTTTGAGTTCTTTTATACCTGTCATTCAAAAACCGTCGTGAGGACCAATATAATTGAAATTCTTCATCTTCTTCTGTCCAATTGTTAAGGAGATCTTATGACTTGTATGTTTTGGAAGCCTTAGTCTAGCCATTATCAAGTGTATGGGCCTTTTGTTACATTGCCATAGTGTGATGTAGAATACAAGGTCTTAGATTTAAGTACTGCGAAGCTGGTGCTCATGGACTTTGTGTACCATTTAATAAACAAAGACAAAAACACCTAATTTTCAATAATTCCATATTAGTATTTTTTCATAAATAGCAGCATGTATTTTTTATAGCTACATGATATGAACAGTTATGTGTTCTACAATTGTGCAAGTTGGTTTTTTCTTTTTGGGTGTAAAAAAAGGACGTATCTCACTGATTCCAACATAATTTGTTTTGACTTGATATGCTATGGACAATCCTATTGTACGCCAATGCAGTTTTTCTATTATTTTATCATGCTTTTATACGGCTCTTCTCCTTACCTTCTTTGGTGAATCCTTATTGTAATGAATGTCTCTTTTTGCTTCTTGTAAAAGAAGATAACCTTAAATTTTGTATTTGCAGGTGGTTGTCTGGCAATCACTTGAAAAAGGTGGTGCTCTTTGGTTGCCCTTCCCTTGATAAAAATAATGTCTTTGCTGCCAAGAGATTGCGCAAGTTCTTTAAAATTGAAGAAAACATTGTAAGCCGTTATTCCAATACTTCTACCAAGAAATATCTGTATTCTTTATTGAGTATAAATATTGTAATATTCATTGTTTTATTAATTTGCAATCTCTTCAGGTTTGCAGTCAATGCATGTTAAAGGATTCATGCAAGTATGTTAATAAAAGTGTATGGAAAGCTGGTACCAAGAATTTGCTTCTGGTTGATGTAATGAAGGTTATTACTTTGTATGCTTTAGACCAAATGCATCCAAAGCTCACAGTTCCAGATGAAGTAAAGGATTCGGTGAACCAATTGCTGAAGGAGGTTATAAAGCTAAGTCAACCTACATAACAAGGCTTCTAAAGTGTTCCTACAGGTACTTACAGTGAATTCAGCTGTAAAAGCTTCACTATTATCATGTTGACAGTTTCCATTTGATTTGTTTGGTTCATCATATTACAGATTATTGATATGATCGCAAGAAATATGGATGAAGTTTTTACTGGTAATGATCTTATTGGCAGACAAGCACATGTCTAGAGAAAGGTTTTTGAAGTAAAATATGGATGGCTGATGTCCCAGGATTGTAATTTGTATTCATGAATGATGCAATTCCTTTGTTGACTGCTTACAAAGCTCTAGATTATAGAGGTTGGTCAACTCCAACATCCATTTGGAACTTTTCTTAGGTTGCAATCTCATATCCATGTCCGAATTTTGCATTAGCATAGAATTTTCCTTTCATAATTGTTAATCTTATATTTCATGTTGTAAATAGAACTCATGGTAATCCTATCACCATATTAGATCATCAATTCATTCGATTTGCGTGAGGCATTTTAATCAAGTCTTTCTTCCTTAAGTTGGCCAAACATTTGATAATACTTTTTTGACTAGTGCACGCTCTCTTAAAATATCTGTTTGATTTTGTCAGGACTACCCACCTATAAGATTTTGAATCAGATTTGCGTTGCTGATGCATACATGCAATTCAACTGGGGATATGTTATCTGGAAATCGAAACGTAGAAGTTCCAGCATAGGAAAATACAAATAGTGAAGCAATTGGAAACTTGGTCCATCCAAGGAACAAATTAGAAGAATAGATTTTCTCATTGACTGAACTTTTCTTTATGGGTTATGTGTTTCTGGCATTCACCTATAGGATTTGGGGTAGTGGAGTTGTTCAACAGTTTCTTCTTTTATGTTTGTCAAGTCAAAATTTGGGATTGTAGACATGCAGCCAGCCATGAAAGCTCTTTGGAAGTTTATGTTAAAACTCTGATATGTTTGCCAACAGTCATTGTCAACAGGATTTGAAAGCTTGGGTTTTATCCTATCCTACTTACCTTTGGTCAAGGCAAAGCTAAAGTTTCACTTTTGGAACTAATTATTTACTAAAGATAAAAATGATATATTTAACCTTACCTTCATCATTTTCACTCCCATTAAAGAAACACCCTTTTCACAGTTTGACAAAGTTATTTGCAATGACAGTTAGATAACAAAATTACTGTACTTCAGCCTCAAATTGAGGTAAAAAAAAATTGATAGCAGTCTAATTCTAACGAAACTCAAATAATAAAAAATCGATAAAATTATACAAAACATGAGGACGTGACTATTTAATTAAAATTTTTAAAATGTGACTTGCATTTTTTATATTAAACATATTTTAAATTCAAATCGTGATTTTATTTCATGTATATTAAGAAAAAAAAAAGGAGATTATGAAGTATTGGATCAATCAAGTTGAATTGAAAATTGGTATTAATTAACTTTTTTTCATATCCAGTTAGGTAAAACTCTGGACTTCTTGTCCCAAAAAGAAAATAGCAATCAAATGCAAAGAAATTTCTTTGCATTAACAGATTCTATTTTTATTTTTACGGCTTCTCATAAAAGCTATAGAAAAAAAATTAATAAAAAAAGGCGATTATTAGACAAAGAACAACCTATGTTTGACTTTTGACCAATCTTTTTCTTTTTGTCTTTTTCAAACCAAAGGTTTTATTCCCTTAAAAGTACAAAAAAAAAAAGAAAAAGAAAAAAATATTTTTCTTTGAAACTAGATTCAGAGAAAAGGAAAGTGATTGCATTACACGCCCTCCATCAGAAGCGCGTAATGGAAAAAGAAACCAACCGACTAGGGGCCCACCCGTCACGCTAAGCTGCATGGTCACGTGAAAGGGAGCAGCGGAAGGGAAGGGGCCCCCCAGTCCGCATCATCTTTTGCTGGACACGCACACATGGAGACACGAAGACCGATTTATATTATTCTTTTTTCTTTTAAATTTTTTTTTTCAAGTCTTTTAGAGATGGTGGTCTGGCATGTGCGCCGAGCTTGACACGTGTGATTTTCACCTTCGTTTCTTATTGGACAGTCATCGACAGAGACGGTTACTGAACCAATAGCGAGCGAAGACAGTGGCCACGTGGCGAGCTAACGTCACAGTTCGGTCACGCATAGAGAGAGAGAGGGGGAGAGGGGGAAGAGGATTCTTAAAATAACGCTTAACGTGTTGCTTTGGCTCGTGTACTTTCGCTTGACTTCTCCAATTTGTCCCTCCCATTACCTCTTATGTTTCTTACTTTTCTTCCGCGGAAGCATTTCAATTTCAAGTATAAACTTGTAAATTACAAATAAATTTTGGTACATTTATCTTGATAACCTTCAATAAACATCATTATCATAAAAAATTAATAATTAAATCTAATTCACGATCTAATTTAATTCGAGTCAAAAGAATCAACTTATTCAAATCTTGATTGTTTCAGTTTAATGGATCCATCTCCCTTCTATATATTTAATTTATTTTATATATTTTTTTACCCTTAGCTACCCCGGCTAGATATGCCATCGGCGTTTTTAATTGTTTGACAATTTTATCACCCTCTGTTTACCCCGATCTGCAGTAAAACGATGAAATTAAAAAATGAATTATCAGTGGTAAACTTGTAAAAAAGAGGTCAGGGGCAATGGTATCCAATCAGTGCAGTTTTAGCTGACAAATACCCTCTTAATTTACAAGCTAATTCATTTCAAGCTTCCAACTCAATTCATCCAATTGTTTTTTTTTCTGCTTCCCGGGTTTTCTTCTTTTGACCACCCCAAAACCCAAAACCACTCTCCGGTTCCCCGTTCGGTTTCCGGTCCACCATTAATCCGCCGATCCAAGTCCACCTCCATCTAGATCTCCGCAGCTCATCTTTTACAGTTGCTGGCCAATTTCCCGCCAACTAAAAGCCATCGTTTGTATATCTCTATTCATCGATCTAAAACTTCGAAAGTTATAATCCTTCTCCAATCATTTTCCGTTTAAACGGCGCCGTTTCAGCGTGACTTCCATCACTTTTAACCCATCTTCCGTATAGGTCACCAAATACTCGATTCTTATTGCTTTGCCTTTTTCTTTTTCATTCATTTTGTTTTTCATCCATTTTGACTCAAATTCTATTTATTTTTTATTTAGTTTTCTTGTTTAATTAAACAACCAAATTTGCTATATATTCAACAAATCTAGGCTAGCATCGATTTTTTGTTCGTTTCGAAATGACGTCCGGAACGAGGCTGCCGACATGGAAAGAAAGAGAGAACAACAAGCGGAGAGAGCGGCGTCGGAGAGCTATAGCGGCGAAGATCTTCGCCGGACTTCGGATGTACGGTAACTATAAGCTTCCGAAGCACTGTGATAACAATGAAGTTCTTAAAGCTCTTTGTATCGAGGCCGGTTGGACTGTCGAGTCCGATGGCACTACTTACCGTAAGGTAAATTACTATTCTCACCGTTAACCTTTTTATCTTTTTTTTTCTTTGGTTGAAAAATTCTGGCATGGAAAAACAATGAAGATAATGCAGATGGATCAGTTAATTTATTGTTTGGAAAAGAAAATTCGCTGAAAATTTTTAATTCATTATTACTAGTTCGTTTTAAGTTGCTCTGATTTTATTTTATTTTTAACTTCTAAAGTTTCGGAAGGAACCGGAAAATGCTTTTTCCGGTGTAATATAGTACGACGAAGATCGTAGTCTTTCAATAATTTACTTTTTTTTTGTTGATTTCTTTGTCGTATTTTAGCACAACGAAGATCATAGTTATTAGTGTAGTAATAAAAACAGAAGAAAAAAAATCCAATCAAATCGTGGTCTTAGTGCTAAATTTGCGCCGCTTCGTGCGGTGCATGTTAATTTATGGAAGTTCCCCCGTCGTGCTAGCATACGCTGCTTCCGGCGGTCGGATTGAAATCAGACCAGCAGGCCTGATCTGGCGCTAACATGCACGGCTCGTGCCGACGCACGTTAGCAGCGCGAGTGATTTTCAGCTGACCGTAATATAAGTCAGTCAGAGTTAGATTCTTTTCACTGCTTTTCATTTTTAATTTTTTCTTTTCCCTTGAGGTATTTTTTCTTGTACGTTTGATCTGGTCAGAAGTGTCGTTTTACTCCTCACCCATCGTACATTAGATCTGGTTAGCCCTCTTTTTCATTTTTATTTATATATATATTTTTTTACTCATCACTTTACCCAACGCGTGAGGCACCAAAGAAAGATTCTTTTGCTTTCTCTGATGACTTAACACTCTGGTACCATAATCGCATATGAGAGAACATGGGACGGATCCTCAAAATCAAAACAGGCATTGATCTCGAGAAAAAGACCAAACTACCCTTGTTAAACTGATAATTGATGAGGGCGGTTTTGGCATTACATGAACTTTGTAGTGAGGTCTGATATTTTCTGAACATTTTTATTTGCTAGGTAACAAGGGTCCTTTTTCGGGGGATTTGCCCAGTTTCCCAATTTGGCGACAGCTTTCATTTTCAAGGGTTGTGAATTTTTTTAGTATATGTGTTTTTTTTTCTTGTGGGTATTGGAGTTCAATTATTAGAGTTTTAGTGGTAAGTTTCAGTTTCTGGGAAGGTTATTTTAGCCTTTCTGGTTGTTCATTTATGAGTCAAGTTTTAGCAAAATGGAAGGGGAGTAGTAACATAGTAGTATCCATTAACGGTCTCCTAATATTGAGTCAATTTAGTAGATGTGTAGCTACAGGGGAGATTTTAGGTTAGGTTGTTTAAATGGGAAAGTGTAGTGCACAGTCAAAAATTCAGTCTTCTGAGAAATTAGATAGTGTCGGATATATGGGTTAGCAAGGTCCGTTGAGATGAATTCTTGACTAACCATTTTAAGATCAGAGGAAAGGAAAAGGAAATCTAGGTACTCACGTGCTATGTTAGGAGTTTGCAAGTGATTTAGCTGGCAACCTGAAAGGTGGTCCATCCACCTTTTTCTTTTCTTGGTTGCTTGCCTGTATTTATTACCACCTCTTAGCCAATTCATTACCGCATTTTACTATTTGAGCCTGTTTTTATGTTCTTAGCTTGATTAACTATACTAAGCAAAGACTACAGTTAATAAGGCCGGCCTACTATTGTATAGAGGTTTGACTGACTTTATGCCAGTCCTGAATCATGTGGACTATTTCTAAGACTGCAGCTTAAAGGGACAAGTTGAGGTTATTATCATGCATAAAACAATTAAAGGTTTTTTGTTTCTATAAAAGTATGCTTTGTTCATCAATGGGGGGGGAGGGTGGAAATGGAATAACTATATGCAGCATGACACTAGTATCAGCTCAATTCAACAAAAGATATTCATAGTTCCCATAAAAAAAATTACGATATCCATCATTGAAATGATTTAAGATGGAAAATAAGACTATTGAGATGGAAAAGAAAAATGACGGGTGAATACAATGGTAGGTGGTTTGTTGGAATACACAACGTTCATAAGAACTCAGGTTATATGTGGTATCAAATGCTGGAATGAGTTATGGTTTTCTGAGCTGCTATTTATTTAAATTTCATATTGCCAGAATTGAGCCTACTAGGCTTACATGAATGTTATTTGATCTGTTGCACCTGCTCTGAGGGCACTGATAACTATCCGATTTCTGCAGGGTTGCAAGCCTGTGGAGCGCATGGATATAGTGGGTGGATCAGCAACAGTGAGCCACTGTTCATCTTACCACCCGAGCCCTTGTGCTTCTTACAACCCAAGCCCTGCGTCATCATCCTTTCCAAGCCCAGCTTCATCTTCGTATGTGGTTAATCCCAATGGTGATGGGAATTCTCTTATCCCATGGCTCAAAAACCTATCATCTGCATCCTCGTCAGCCTCCTCTTCCAAGCTTCCCCATCTCTATATTCATGGTGGTTCCATCAGTGCTCCTGTCACTCCTCCATTGAGCTCACCAACTGCCCGAACCCCAAGAATCAAAACTGACTGGGAGGACCAGTCTGCCCGTCCAGGTTGGAGTGCACAACAACACTCTTTCCTACCTTCTTCAACTCCACCTAGCCCTGGTCGTCAGATTGTTCCTGACCCAGAGTGGTTTGCCGGGCTCCGAATCCCTCATAGTGGGCCAACTTCTCCCACCTTCAGTCTTGTCTCCTCAAACCCCTTCGGCTTCAAGGAGGAAGTTTTAGCTGGTGGGGGATCCCGCATGTGGACTCCGGGGCAAAGTGGGACATGTTCTCCTGCAATAGCTGCAGGATCAGATCATACTGCTGATATTCCAATGTCTGAAGTTAATTCAGATGAGTTTGCATTTGGAAGCAATGCAACAGGGCTAGTAAAGCCATGGGAAGGAGAGAGGATTCATGAAGAATGTGGATCGGATGACCTAGAACTCACTCTTGGCAGTTCCAGGGCTAGGTGAGTTTGTAAGCTTATTGAATAGATAGCTAAAATTGACTACTTTTACTTGAGTCACATTGTCTTGCAGATAAAGCAATCTGAGTGAAAAGTTTCGGTGTTCTCTTAGCATGAACTTTGATTCCATATTTGTGCTCTCAGAAAGAGGGAACAAAAGGGATCAAGGTCAGCATGAGCAGTTTCTCAGTCTTGTTTTAGTTTTTGTTTAATTTTATAAAATTTTTACTCTAAAATTTGTTGTTAAATTATATATAGTTAGTTCTTCAATGGCCCGAGGCGGTTTCATAGCCTTGTGTTCAGCCCTTTTCTATTTAAATCCTAGTTTTGCTGAAAAGAACTGTCTTACTTGTACGATTGTTGTCTTGTCTTTAGTTAGGTTTGCCATTAGAAGAAATGCCTCAATGACTGGTCACCTGTACCGTTTCTCAATGGCAAAACCTTTTGTGAAAATTAGGATAGGTTGGACTTTCTACCATTTTCCTTTGTACATATTTGACATATCGTGTGACATGCTCCGTTATCAAAGTCCACCTCTTCTTTTGGCGTTTTATTTGATTATTTTTCAATCATTTCTTTTTTACTATGCTTTATTCTAAGGAAGAAGCGCTTTGCAGACAAGGAAAATTGCTGTGGACCAGACCACTTGGACTTTTTGCTAATGGAAATCTTGAAATTGGGTTGGGGCTATAGGTCTATATATGCTTGCTTTGATTTGAATGGCTCTTTCTAACTATGTTGACCAAAAACCTTTGGGGTTGGGTCAAGGGTTTTACTATGATGATGACATGTTATTCAATCCAAAAACCACTGGGAATATGGCCCCCGCCATTTCCCCTTGGCAAATTCTCAGCCAATGCTGCTTAATCAAAATGCACAACTTGTGGGTAAAATATCCATTATCTGGTTGTCATGTTGGCTCAACCATCAATTTGAACGCCTGTAGCAGTTTTTGGAGTATGATGTTGAGCGTCGCATAATTGGTTCAGTAAAACAAAGAGTAGCATACGGACTTTGTGCTATAAGATTTCTCAGTTTGGTCAGACTGATTTATTTATTTTTCTTTTTTGGGCTTCAAATATGACCAAACCAATAAATTTGGTGACCACTGGAATGAGATCTATTATAGGGAATACTTTGATTTCGATGCAGCAGGCATCGTATGGTATTTACCATTATTTGATATTTAACTATAACGTGAGCTTTATGTACAAGGAGATGATTCACAACTGGACATGTTAATCCATGAACCAAGTCCAAGCTCTGTTCCATTCTCCCTTCTGTCATAGCTCTCGTCTCAAAGCCTTAATGAACCATTCCTCTCTTTTCTGGAACGTAACAATTCCAGTGCATACTCCAATCACTACACCGGCAATGTATGCCGTCAGAGCAATAAACCATATCGAATCCAATTTATTCAGCACGGAATCATTCTTCTTCTCATGTTGCTCAGAACTTCGGGGGTCTGTTTCAGGGAGAGACACACAAGGGGGCAATGGGATTCCGCATAACCCTGGATTGTTTTCATATCTGGATGCTGGAAATGTAGTGAGTCGGCCTGCTAAAGGTATAGTTCCAGTGAGGTTGTTATCGGAGACATCAATGTCTACCAGAAATGAGAGTGACCCCAATGATCCTGGAAGCATGCCTTCAAGATGATTATGCGACAGGTCAATGAAGCCAACGCCTTTCAAACTTCCCAAGGTGTCTGGAATAATTCCAGTTAGTCTGTTGTGTGCCAAATTTAAAGTTTGCAAGTAATACATTACGCCTAGGCTTTCAGGAATAGATCCGGACAGGTGATTGAAAGAAAGATCCAAGTATCTGATCGTGCCATTGCCTCTGAACCTGTGAACTGGGAATCCACTCTGTAATCTCACTGTTGGACACGATTTCAAGTCCAAAACATCCTCCAGCCTTCCTCTTCTGATTCCATCATAATAAATAAATCAAACTACTGGCCGTTCTACAATCCCTTCTACTTACGTTTCTCAAGAATGCATACTCTGCCTCGTGAGAAAACTTGGGAACCATGCTTGTTTGGTTGGCAAGATCTGATGGAATGTTACCTGTAAAGTAATTACTTCTCAATCAAGCTATATTAGACTTTGACAACCACCAAGCTCGGTTGGAATGTTCCCAGAAAGGAAGTTGGAACTTAACTGCAGAACGCTGAGTTTTTGAAGATTACCAATACCAGCTGGAATTTCCCACTCAGCTGATTAGATGAAAGTGACAACCAAACAAGATTTTTACTGTTGGTGACTGATACCGGAATATTTCCACTGAAGAGGTTGTGGGCGAGACTTAGGTTCTCCAAATTACTTGTGCCAAAGCACACGTCTTTGGGAATTTCACCGGAAAAGTTATTCCCCCACATGATCATATCAGAAAGATGTGGTAGCTTCCACACCTCAGATGGAATGCATCCATTTAAATGGTTAAGTGCAAGATTGATTGTCCGTAGGTTCTGACAGTTTCCAAGTTCTGAAGCTATTGTTCCTGAAAGAAATTTGCTTGCAAGTAGTAAGTTTGTTAGAGAAGTTGAGATGGTTGAAAAGGAGCAAAGCCCGGAGGGTATTTCTCCAGAGAAGGCATTGGAACTAAGGTCAAGGACTTGAAGCTGAGCACAGTTCCTTAGAGATAGAGGTATTGGACCACTAATGTTGTTGAACGGAATTTGGAGGATTTGCAGACTCGGAAGAGTACTTATAACTGAAGTGAGGAAATTTCCTGAAAGCTGATTGTTTCCGAGGTTGAGGCTTTGCAAAGAGTTCCATAACTTAAAAGATTTAGGAAACCCCCCAGAGAGTTCATTTCCAGAAAGATCAAGCTCAATTAGAGTTCCACAAATCCAACCCAATTCCGGGGGAATATTGCCAGAGAAGTCATTATATCCCAAATTTAGATACTTCAAATTGCTTGATTTTCCCAAAGCAGCTGGAATTTTATCCTGCAGCTTGTTATGGGAGAGATCAAGGCTCTGGAGAAGTTGGCAATTGGTCAGGCTTTGAGGAATTCCAGTGCCATAAAGAGAATTACTGGACAGGTTTAGTACCAAAAGCTTGGCACAGTTTTTGAATTCAAGCACTGAGAAATTTCCAGATTAGTATGTATTAAGAAAGGTTTATAGACACAGATAAATCAGAAAAAAGAAAAGTTGGGATATCATCAGATAACATGTTGTTAGAGAGGTCCAAAATTGATAAATTCCTGTAGGAAGAGAGGTTACCAAGTTTCCCAGACAATTTGTTATGTGAGAGACTCAACAGTTTCATATTCTGACAATTTGAAAAGGAGTAGTCCAATATTAAGGAATTGGAGATGAGATTGCTCGAGAAATCAAGCTCCAGGAGAGAAGTTCCAAAGTCGAAACCACCTCCTGGGGTGGAGTTATGTGAAAGATTTAAGGAAGTCAAATGATCACAAGAGTGGAAAAACGTAATAGAAATTGGCTCTGATAAATTATTCAATGACAAATCAAGTGTCTGAATGATGCAGGGATAAGAGGTCTCATTGTGGAAGAGATTACCAGAGAATGAGTTTCCACTCAAGTGGAGATGTTTGAGATTTCCAAGGACTAACAGATCATCAATATGCAAATTGCCAACTAAACCCGCTTGAGTGAGATTGAATGCCCTAACTTGTCCACTAGGAGAACAGGAGACACCTTGCCATGAACATGGACTCAAAGATGCAACACTCCAGTTGTCTAGGAAACCTTTAGGGTCAGCATCAACAGATTTCTGCTTGAAAACAAATAATGCCATTACTTCATTGCTCTGATTTTGTTTCTGCGTAGACAAGGTGTGCTCATCACTGGCATCCAAAGATCTAAAACATGCAACAGGAAGATGAGCATAAAAGAGCACAAGAAACGCACCCATCGCTCCTCTAGTGTACTCGAATTCCTCATCTTCACTCTGGTTGAATTTGGATGAAGAAAAGGTCTTGGTTTCAGCACTATTGCATGCTTTATGGACTACAACAAAAAAAAAAAATCTTCCTGTTGAATGTACCAAATCCATTTGACTTCCTGTGATGCATATAATTAGTCAAATTATCTTCTTCATTAGTCAATTTACTAAGTCAGGCATATCAAATTCAATTAATATCTGCCAACAGAGCGCATCAATTTTTTTGTCTCCAAACACAAAAGAATACCATCCATTTTCCATTGCACTTCTTATAAAATGCATCAAGCTTAAAGTATATGTACTCTACTTTCCACAACAAATATTTTGACTCCATAAACCGATTGACTTGGAAAGTTTCTTTAGAGACAAAGCAATATAAAAGCAAATAAACGAATTTTGGACTCTTTAATTAAGATAAAAAAAGAAGAAGAAGAACAACAACAATTGGACTCATGATTTTTCAGTCTTCTTGATATTTTTTGCCATAGAAAGATGGTGAAGCATTGAACTTATGCCTCTTTGAATGTGTTCCATCAATGATTGAATGTGAATAGGGTTTAACTATTTATTAGATACCTTTATACTATAAAAGAAAAGAACAAATCTATTAGTAAGAGAAGAAATAATCAGAATCTTTTTACCAAATCTGCCAATTACCATTTTTTATTCAGTTTTTCTCCCATTTTCTCTAAATCCTTTCTTTTTTTTTTTTTTTTCCTTTTGACAAATTACATAAAAATTATAAGTCATAATATCCCAAAAACTGCTAAACTATTTAAAAAAATTTAAATAAGTTTTTATATTTTTATTACATTTAATCAAGTCCTTATATTTTATTTTGAGTCAAACAAGTCTAAAAATTTTTATTTCGAATCAAATAAACTCATATAACTAATAATTAACTTAATTAAAATATCATATGTCATTTTATGTTTTGTGATGCTAATGTGACATAAAAAAATATCATAATTGATAATAATATAATATGTTAATATTGATTTAAATATCATTTGTAGTAAAATTTATTTAATGGTAATTAAGTAGCAGAATAATTTTGCTTAATGGTATGCCAAAGCTTACAAATTCATCATTTTTACCAAAAACTAGAAACAAAGCATTAAGTACAAGAGATGATTTATTATCAATGATATGTTGGATTCATGAACATAAAAAGAAAAGAATTCTACAAAAAAAGTGCAAAGTCCGTTCCCTTCTTTCCTTCTATCCTTCAGCAAATAGCCTTCAGGAACCATTCCTCTCTTTCTTGAAACACAACAGTACCAATGCAAACTCCGTTTATAACACCAGCAATGTATCCCATTAAAGCAATAATCCATTTCCAATCAACATTAGTCAGTATGAAACCATTTTTTGGTTGATATTGCTCAGTACTTGTGGGGTTTATTTCCTGCAGATGCGACAAAGGGGCAATGGGATTCCGCAAAGGCCTGAATTGTTTTCACTACTGGATGCTGGAAACGTATCAAGCTGACCTGATAAAGGAATGGCGCCAGTGAGGTTATTATTTGAGACATCCAAGAAATTGAGAAATGAGAGTAACCCCAATGTTCCTGGAACAATGTCTTGAAGATGATTATAGTTGTTTCAAGCTTCCAAATGTGTTTGGTATTTAATCCGTTCTGTGCCAAGTTTAATATTTGCAAGTCATGCGTCAAGGTCAAGTTTTCAGGAATCGGTCCAGACAGGTGATTGAATGAAAGATCCAAGTATTTAATGGTGCCATTGCCATTGAGAGTAGACATTGGCAATTTGTATACTCTCAATGATGTACAAGCTTGAAATCGAAAGCATCCGCCAACCTTTCTTCTCTGATTCCCTCAGAATACCTTAAACTATGGGCCATTCTACAATCACTTGCACCTTCGTTTCTCAACAATAAATACCGCGACCTGTAAGTAAAATTGGGATTGGGGACCAAGCCTGTTTGGTTTACAACATTTGGTGGAATATGACCTGTAAAGTAATTGCTGTTCAAATCAAGCCGTATGAGTTTTCGACATCTACCAAGCTCAGCTGGAAGTTTCCCAGAAAGTGAGTTAGAATTTAACAGCAGAATGCTCAGTTTTTCAAGATTTCCTGAAGTAGCAGGAATAGTTCTACTTAGCTGGTCAAACGAGAGTGACAACCAAGTCAGGTTTTTACAGCTGCTGAGTGATGCTGGAATTTTTCCACTGAAGAAATTGTTATTGAGAATAAGTTTCTCCAAATTGCTAGGGACAAAGCATATGTCCTTTGGAATTTGGCCAGAGAAGTTATTTCCCCACACAACAAAGTCATAAATATTTGGTAGCATCCACACTTCTGATGGAATGGATACTTTGAGATTGTTAAGAGCACAATTAATTGATCTCAAGTTTTTACAATATCCAAGACCTGAAGGCACTGTTCCTGACAGAAAATTGCTTTCAAGTAGTAGTTTTTGCAGAGAGGACGAAAGGGTTGAAGAGGAGCAAAGCTCAGAAGGTATTTCTCCGTGAAGGTATTAGAACTACGGTCAAGGACTTAAAGCTGAGTACAGTTAATTTCTTAGAGATAGAGGAATAGAACCGCTGATGTTGTTAAATAGAACTTGAAGGATTTGTAGTCTAGGAAGTGTACTAACAACTGCAGTGAGAAAATTCCCAGAGATTGAGGCTTTGCAAAGAATCACATGACTTAAATGTCTTAGGAAAGCCACCAGAGAGATTATTTCCAGAAAGGTCAAGCTCCGCTAGAGTCCCACAAGTCCATGCCAATTCTGGGGATGTTACCCGAGAAGTTATTGTATGCCCAATTCAGATGCTTCAAATTTCACAAATTCGCCAAAGCAGCTGGAATTTTATCCGGAAGCTTATTATGGGAGAGGTCAAGGTTCTCAAGGAGCTGGCAGTTGGTCAAGCTTTCAGGAATTCCAGAGCCATTAGAGAGCATTATTGGACAGACCAAGATCCAAAGGCTTATCACAGGCCCAAAACTCAGGCACAGAGAAGTTACCAGATATCAGGGTATTGTGACAGTGACTGGTAGCTCATAGAGTGCTGAAGTATCTGAAGGCATCACCAGGACAAGGAATCTTGATGAAATCCAAGTCCAACAAGAAGATATCAGGGTATTGTGACAGTGACTGGGCAGGGTGTTTTGATTCTCGAAGGTCAATCACTGGATTCAGCATATTTATTAGAGAATCATTGGTGAGTTGGAAATCCAAGAAGCAATCTATGATGGCTAGGAGTTCAGCAGAGACTGAGTATCGTTCAATGGCATCAACATGTTATGAGATTGTGTGGTTGAAGAATTTATTAGTACAGTTTGAGATTAAACACAAGGAATCCATAACTCTCTTCCCAAACAGTCAATCAACAATTCACATTAAAAAAAATCTAGTATTTCATGAAATAATGAAACATATCGAAATGAACTACCATTTCATTAGAAAAAAAAGTGCTGGATGGGACAATCAAGTCACTGCATACTGCAACAGATCAGCAGATTACAGCTGTGCTAACAAAGCACTGCAGCATAGGCAATTTCATAAACTTCTAGGCAAGATGAACGTTCACAACATTCACGATTCCTCTTGAGAGGGAGTGTTAAACACATACCTGTACCTTAAATCATTGCATAAATGGCTTAACAACAACAGAAAGCTCGGGTTGAAGAAAGAATCAGCTGCAAAAAAGGAACAAGTTTAGCAGCAGAAACGCACTGTTTAATAAGAAGACTCAAGCAAAAGAAGAAAGCCACAAAGAACTTCACAAACGCAGCATTTCAATAAAAAGAGCAAGGACCTTGAGTCATCTGCCAATACACTCTATTTTGACTACCACCCTTTTTGAAAATTAACTAAATACTAACAATTAGTTAATTAGTTTAGCAGCTTTACTCTTTTTGGTTAACAACCAAAACGTTCTGTATATGAAGTCTTGTATTCTCTACTTTTTCCTTTAATGAGAATCCCTAAAATTCTCCTATATTACCACTCCGTCTTCTTCATTTTCTGACACTTCCAGGAAATCTCCCAGTTGACTTGGAAAACTTTACTTTTTCACTGTCCATTATCAGGTGGCTATACAATTTAAGGACAGCCATGTGAAGATTTTTTTTTTTTTTGTTTTTTGTTTCGAAAGGATCACAAAAAGAGACTTACAAAAGGCAGAAGATATTAAATATATCATCTTGATTGAACAAGTTGGGAGACCCCCCTTTATATCATCTGCACGCCAAATATAGATGACAATACAAAGTCAAACTCCTTAGACAACCTTGCAAGAGGACAAAGAAACTGCTCATCCTGCTTAAGAAAGATGTTGTATTTTGGGAGAAAGAGAGTATATGGCTGCTGGGATGCAGCCTCCGTTTTGTATCTCTAAACAGAGATGAGCAGATAGAAAAGGCCACAATGATTTTCATTCATCATTAACAACATATACAAGGCATAAGGAAACACTTGTTAAAGGATCGATTACAAGTGTTAAACACAGTTGATATATAAACATGCAAAGTCCCATGTAGCGGTCTTCAATGTCGTCAAATACACGTACTGATGTGCATGTTTTCCAGTTGTTTGTCACTTGGCCTTTTTATCCACTTGGGTATACGCGAGCATTAGTTTCAACAAAAGGAACAAGAGAATC